CTCTCACTGTATAAAGGTCTGTCTGCCCTGCTCTCTCTCACTGTATAAAGCTCTGTGTGCCCTGCTCTCTCTCTCTCACTGTATAAAGCTCTGTGTGCCCTGCTCTCTCTCTCACTGTATAAAGCTCTATGTGCCCTACTCTCTCTCTCTCTCTCTCTCACTGTATAAAGCTCTGTATTCCCTGCTCTCTCTCTCTCACTGTATAAAGCTCTGTGTGTCCTGCTCTCTCTCTCACTGTATAAAGCTCTGTGTGCCCTGCTCTCTCTCTCTCACTGTATAAAGCTCTGTGTTCCCTGCTCTCTCTCTCACTGTATAAAGCTCTGTGTGCCCTGCTCTCTCTCTCACTGTATAAAGCTGTGTGTCCTGCTCTCTCTCTCTCACTGTATAAAGCTCTGTGTGCCCTGCTCTCTGTCTCTCACTGTATAAAGTTCTGTGTGCCCTGCTCTCTCTCTCACTGTATAAAGCTTTGTGTGCCCTGCTCTCTCTCTCTCACTGTATAAAGCTCTGTGTGCCCTGCTCTCTCTCTCTCACTGTATAAAGCTCTGTGTGCCCTGCTCTCTCTCTCAGTGTATAAAGCTCGATGTGTCCTGCTCTCTCTCTCACTGTATAAAGGTCTGTCTGCCCTGCTCTCTCTCACTGTATAAAGCTCTGTGTGCCCTGCTCTCTCTCTCTCACTGTATAAAGCTCTGTGTGCCCTGCTCTCTCTCTCACTGTATAAAGCTCTATGTGCCCTACTCTCTCTCTGTATACAGCTCTGTGTGCCCTGCTCTCTCTCTCTCTCTCACTGTATAAAGCTCTGTGTGCCCTGCTCTCTCTCTCTCACTGTATAAAGCTCTGTGTGCCCTGCTCTCTCTCTCTCTCTCCCACTGTATAAAGCTCTGTGTGCCCTGCTCTCTCGCTCTCTCTCTCTCTCTCTCACTGTATAAAGCTATGTGTGCCCTGCTCTCTCTCTCTCACTGTACACACACTCTTGCAGTGGTAACGCCTTGCTAGGCTGGCCTGTCACTCAGTCGGCTGCTGACGTCATCGATGTGCGACCCGCCCTGCTGGTTGTCATAGTGACGGCTGAAGAGTCGCTCGGTTTTCAATCGGAAAAAGAAAAAGGCAATGCCCCGTCCCAGGTATGGGCTCACCCTGCGTGATATCGCTTTAATACAGGGCTGACACGGGGAACAAAATGCGACTAATGGTATCTCTGTAAATATAATAATATAGCACTCACTGCCTGCTATATACACAGGTCAGTATGTGTTTATACAGTCTGGGGGATAGATGGCTCACACATTATTAAACAGGAAAATGGCCAGAGAATGAATGGGGGCACCCATGGCTAGCACTCACTGCCCTGCTATATACCCAGGTCAGTATGTGTTTATACAGTCTGGGGGATAGATGGCTCACACATTATTAAACAGGAAAATGGCCAGAGAATGAATGGGGGCAGCCATGGCTAGCACTCACTGCCCTGCTATATTCCCAGGTCAGTATGTGTTTATACAGTCTGGGGGATAGATGGCTCACACATTATTAAACAGGAAAATGGCCAGATAATGAATGGGGGCAACCATGGCTAACAATCACTGCCCTGCTATATACCCAGGTCAGTATGTGTTTATACAGTCTGGGGGATAGATGGCTCACACATTATTAAACAGGAAAATGGCCAGAGAATGAATGGGGGCAGCCATAGCTAGCTCTCACTGCCCTGCTATATACCCAGGTCAGTATGTGTTTATACAGTCTGGGGGATAGATGGCTCACACATTATTAAACAGGAAAATGGCCAGAGAATGAATGGGGGCATCCATGGCTAGCACTCACTGCCCTGCTATATACACAGGTCATTATGTGTTTATACAGTCTGGGGGATAGATTGCTCACACATTATTAAACAGGAAAATGGCCAGAGAATGAATGGGGCAGCAATGGCTAGCACTCACTGCCATGCTATATACCCAGGTCAGTGTGTGTTTATACAGTCTGGGGGATAGATGGCTCACACATTATTAAACAGGAAAATGGCCAGAGAATGAATGGGGGCAACCATGGCTAGCACTCACTGCCCTGCTATATACCCAGGTCAGTGTGTGTTTATACAGTCTGGGGGATAGATGGCTCACACATTATTAAACAGGAAAATGGCCAGAGAATGAATGGGGGCAGCCATGGCTAGCACTCACTGCCCTGCTATATACCCAGGTCAGTATGTGTTTATACAGTCTGGGGGATAGATGCTCACACATTATTAAACAGGAAAATGGCCAGAGAATGAATGGGGGCTGCCATGGCTAGCACTCACTGCCCTGCTATATACCCAGGTCAGTGTGTGTTTATACAGTCTGGGGGATAGATGGCTCACACATTATTAAACAGGAAAATGGCCAGAGAATGAATGGGGGCAGCCATGGCTAGCACTCACTGCCCTGCTATATACCCAGGTCAGTATGTGTTTATACAGTCTGGAGGATAGATAGCTCACACATTATTAAACAGGAAAATGGCCAGAGAATGAATGGGGGCAGCCATGGCTAGCACTCACTGCCCTGCTATATACCCAGGTCAGTATGTGTTTATACAGTCTGGGGGATAGATAGCTCACACATTATTAAACAGGAAAATGGCCAGAGAATGAATGGGGGCAGCCATGGCTAGCACTCACTGCCCTGCTATATACCCAGGTCAGTATGTGTTTATACAGTCTGGGGGATAGATGGCTCACACATTATTAAACAGGAACATGGCCAGAGAATGAATGGGGGCAGCCATGGCTAGCACTCACTGCCTGCTATATACCCAGGTCAGTATGTGTTTATACAGTCTGGAGGATAGATTGCTCACACATTATTAAACAGGAAAATGGCCAGAGAATGAATGGGGGCTTCCATGGCTAGCACTCACTGCCCTGCTATATACCCAGGTCAGTATGTGTTTATACAGTCTGGGGGATAGATGGCTCACACATTATTAAACAGGAAAATGGCCAGAGAATGAATGGGGGCAGCCATGGCTAGCACTCACTGCCCTGCTATATACCCAGGTCAGTATGTGTTTATACAGTCTGGGGGATAGATGGCTCACACATTATTAAACAGGAAAATGGCCAGAGAATGAATGGGGGCAACCATGGCTAGCACTCACTGCCCTCCTATATACCCAGGTCAGTATGTGTTTATACAGTCTGGGGGATAGATAGCTAACACATTATTAAACAGGAAAATGGCCAGAGAATGAATGGGGGCTACCATGGCTAGCACTCACTGCCCTGCTATATACCCAGGTCAGTGTGTGTTTATACAGTCTGGGGGATAGATTGCTCACACATTATTAAACAGGAAAATGGCCAGAGAATGAATGGGGGCAGCCATGGCTAGCACTCACTGCCCTGCTATATACCCAGGTCAGTATGTGTTTATACAGTCTGGGGGATAGATGGCTCACACATTATTAAACAGGAAAATGGCCAGAGAATGAATGGGGGCAGCCATGGCTAGCACTCACTGCCTGCTATATACCCAGGTCAGTATGTGTTTATACAGTCTGGGGGATAGATGGCTCACACATTATTAAACAGGAAAATGGCCAGAGAATGAATAGGGCAGCCATGGCTAGCACTCACTGCCCTGCTATATACCCAGGTCAGTATGTGTTTATACAGTCTGGGGGATAGATAGCTAACACATTATTAAACAGGAAAATGGCCAGAGAATGAATGGGGGCAGCCATGGCTAGCACTCACTGCCCTGCTATATACCCAGGTCAGTATGTGTTTATACAGTCTGGGGGATAGATGGCTCACACATTATTAAACAGGAAAATGGCCAGAGAATGAATGGGGGCAACCATGGCTAGCACTCACTGCCCTCCTATATACCCAGGTCAGTATGTGTTTATACAGTCTGGGGGATAGATGGCTCACACATTATTAAACAGGAACATGTCCAGAGAATGAATGGGTGCAGCCATGGCTAGCACTCACTGCCCTGCTATATACCCAGGTCAGTATGTGTTTATACAGTCTGGGGGATAGATGGCTCACACATTATTAAACAGGAAAATGGCCAGATAATGAATGGGGCAGCCATGGCTAGCACTCACTGCCCTGCTATATACCCAGGTCAGTATGTGTTTATACAGTCTGGGGGATAGATTGCTCACACATTATTAAACAGGAAAATGGCCAGAGAATGAATGGGGGCTGCCATGGCTAGCACTCACTGCCCTGCTATATACCCAGGTCAGTATGTGTTTATACAGTCTGGGGGATAGATGGCTCACACATTATTAAACAGGAAAATGGCCAGATAATAGAACATGGCAATAACCACAGTAGTTTATGGTTTTATTGTATTTTTAAGAAGGAATAGAGGTACACACTATTGGGGGTTAAAGTTGCTTCCATCACTGCATAGTTTACTGCATAGTTTACACTGCATATATTTTAATGTTAGCTAGTGGGTTGTGCAAAAAAGTTCCCAAATTCATAGTTCCTTCATTTTGAAAGTACAGAAGATTAATTTTAAAGGGGAACTGTCAGTCCTATGGAAATTATACCACTGAATAAAATGTTAAATATTTTCTTTTACGTGCGTGTGAAAGATTTAGCAGTTGACAGTTCAGTTCAGTCCTAGCACAGTCAAGGCACACACTGCATTATCATTATTATTAATTATTATTATTAATAAAGAAGGATATACAGAATCATTCTCTCCTCTCTAATGTCTGTCAGTGTTTTGACTGACAGTTATTGACAGGAAGCCAAGATGAAGGCACTCAGGGTAACTTACATTATCTGATGAGGACACGTTGTTAATGTGGCGGTATGTCAAAACACAACTCCAATGGATTCAAATAATTTCATATCTATCTGTATGCCCACTCATAACTCTTTATATGAGCCAGGCAGTTTCACATAAACCTGAATAAAATATATAATCTAACTCAAATGATTCTGAAACCTAGATTGTGAGTAATTACACGCAAGGCAATGTTTTGTTTGTTCCCATTGTTTATAAGTATTATTGATGCACTTTATTATGATTTGACTGCTCATTTTACTTCCTTGTGGAATATGCTGGAAATATGTTGTAGCGGAGGCCTGGTATTCCACAGGTTAACTCCACTAAAGATCCCAGTGAGGCTCAGGAACAAGTCATGAAAAATCCCATAAAGTAATAATTCCAGCCAGCAAGGTAATCCAAGAATATCCCCATACAGATCCCAATGACTGGACGACACACAGCATCAGGAGCAGAACTAACTTTTATTCCACACAACCTCCTTTTAAGCATTCTCCCATGCAAGGGAGGGATTCACATTCATTAGTACAGTACCCAATGGAATAGCAGTTACCTCCCACACATCTCCTCCCCTTAGTATGACACTTCATCCCATTACACAGGGTATAATTTTCCCCAAGTTCTGGATGTACCCTAAGATTAGCAGATACACCAATACTTGGTACCCCCCTCTTAGCCCTGATCTGGGTGACTAACATATCCAAAATTCACCCAGATCAGACCAGGGGTTTGGGAGTTAGGTGGCGGGTATAATTTGACCGACCACACACGAGGTGGTATCCAAAAAGGGTTCCATGTGTTTTGGCCCTGCGGTTGGTCTCCGTTCGGGAGTTGAAAGACATATAAAAAACTGCCATCCACTAATACATTTATGTTTGTATGATTCCCATCATTCGGTACTTTAAACTTACCGAACGGGGGGGCTCATTTTCCTTCCCGTTCGGGAGTTACGGAGTTCTGGAGGTGTCAGCGGTGTTCGGGTAATTGAGTGTCCGATTTGAGTTCCAGACACTCGACGGCCAAACACTGCTGAGCCTTTCGTGTGTAAGATGGCCGCCGCCACGTGTTCGCATGCCGAATGGCGGCCACCCAGATACATACATAAAACATCTATTAGTCTGCGGTTAGCGAGCAATTTGCAGCTTAACGAGGGACACACTTCACTCTGGGGTGGTCTATTGGTTCGGTAGTTTCCATTCGTATGAAATCACACGAATTCTACTTACAATTTACTATACAGCAGAAATAACACACCAATTGCAGGATTCTCACAGTTTTTAAGGATAGCCATAGTACCATCCGCTACATATGTAAATTGGTAAATAACATTAAATGGAATTTTAATAGTCTCAAACAAGTACTTGGATATAAAGATTGACATGCTTCTGACTTTGTGAAGTCTTATAGTGTGATTGTCTGTGGCGTTGGATGAGTATAATTGTTTGTGGGGGTGGCTGGCTGAGTGTGATTGTGTGTAGTGTTATGTAGAGAGCATGGGAAATGTGTGTAGACTATCAATAATAATAACAATTTTCAATACAAAAAATTAAGCTGAACTGCTTTTAGTTGAACTTATCATTGTATTTGAAGGTTCTGTTGCGTATTTCCATAATTCAGTTCTGGGTTTAATGGATTTGGATGCATATGGTCATGATTAAATGTGATCTGTGCTCTTTGTCTGAGCAGTGTATTTGCACAGAGCTGACATGGCACCTTCTGGGGGTGAATCTTTACCCTGTGTCACCAAAGCCAATTGCATATAACCAGGAAAGGTACATTTTATATATATATACATTTGCTAGATTTCAGGTATTTTCTGAAGACATTTTGCTCTCTTAACCTTGTCTTATTTCAGTCAAGTGAGCCAACATAAACTATAATTTGAAGCGCAGGCTTAATACCTATCAACAGGACCTTTAGAAGTCCAGGCAATAATACAATTTTTAGAATTCTTCTTTTATTTCATCTTATAATTAAAGAAATATACAAGTTGTGTAAAGTTTTTTTTTTTTTTGTTTTTTTTGTTATTAGCAAAATACACAAATGTTTATCTGCCCGTATTTCTGTTACATTGATTTCAGTGACAGCCTTTGGGACATAGCTATAGCAGAAGTTCAGAGAAAGGAAAATGGTGGAAATGAAGATGATTCAGAAGGAGCAGGACAGTCGGATCGATCTGTGTTCTTCATGGGAAACAAAAATGGGGTAAAAAAGTTATTGCACATTCACAGACTATTGGTATTCATTGTGTTGATCCCTGCAGCGTAGTTTTTAAACAGAAAACGTGATCATCTCACCATATAGTGTGCCTTTCCGTTGTATTTCTAGTATATAACTAAAGTGGAGGAGGCATGTCTGCAGGTTTTATTGTAGCAGCAACATTTACAGGGATATTCACTAAAATTAGAATTCAAAGTGAATTTTCCAATTTCGTTTTTAGTGATTTTAGTAGATATTTAAGGTCAAAATAGCCAGACTGTCGCCAGTCAATTATGCTTTCAGTTTGACTCTGGTCTTAAATTCACATTGAATTATCAATGCAGAGCATGGAGACGCTGAATGTAGGTGCTGCATACCTACGTTTACATTGAAACGCCTGCAGGGACATGCCATAGACACGAGAACCACTATATAAAGCTGTAGTTTTCCATTAATATGGAAACTAAGTCTATAAATAAGTATATATATTTAGATTACTCACTCCCTTTTGTTATCGCCTAGACAGTCTCCTCACTGCAGCCTTCTGTGAGATCATTAGTCATGATGATTTCTGTCCAATGAGATGCTTCTCGTATAGAAGTATTGAGGACACATGGTCCCTTTTCATCAATCACTACTATCCACTATTCCAGTTTTTCCCTATGAGAAACAGCCAATCATCTGCATCATGCTATGCATAAGGATGCCAAACATGAAGACCTGTAGGTTTAGTCCTGCAATGTAATGCAAAGCCGTTCAGTAAATACGGCAATGTTTACATTGCAGAGCTAAACACACAATCTTATGGCTGTCTTTCTTACAGCCACTAGAGGGTGCTACCACAGCAATAACCAAGTCAGATTTTTTTGTTCAATTAATGCTTCTCAAAGAGAGCATTTGAATGGGTGAGAACAGCATTTTGTCATTAAGTGTTTTTCATCCTGAATGCCTTTGTGAGAAGCAATGGATTGGATGAGAATGCAGAACACGACCGCATGCTTTCTGACAAAGAAGGAGGCGGAGCAGACAGCTGCAGCAACAGTGTCTCGATGCTGAAAATGAGGTGGATTAAAAAAAAATGTAACTTACATTTTAAAACAGAAAAGAGGTTGGACAGAGGTCACTGTAATGGAAGGGAACGTTTAGTCCAGGTAAAAAAAATAAATAAATAAGTTTATTGTCAATATGTAACATTGTCATAATGTACAGTTTAGAAATATGCAAACCCAGTCCCATATAAAACATAAAATATATACATTTCAAAATACAAAAAATGTACGTTTGTGTCCAAATAATGTATCAATTTTAAATATTTAATAGTGTATTTATGTTGTAATGAAATTGTACTGTTTATCTCCTAAAAGTAACAGCATATACATTTTATTATAGATATCTCACAAGTCACACTAGTTTTGACAGGAATAATAAGGACAGTTTATATTTTAAGTAATGGAAATTCAATGCATGGCCTGTAAAGAAAAACAAACAAACACACACTAGTAACTATTCAAATAGATTTATTAATGCCATATTCTGTATTAAGCCATTCCATTTGAAAAACATTCTCTTTCTTCTTGATAATAGACTGTCTGGCCGCCCCTCTCCATTGACTTTTATTTACCCAGTCAATATTTTAAAACCCTAACGCAAATAAATTTTTTGTGTGATAACAAGTGTCTTTATATCTTTACATCTTTATCATGAAACTAATTGATGTGGTTTATCTACAGCAGGCATCTTAAACATCGGTCTCCAGATGTTTCTGAACTACAGCTCCCGTTACTGTCCGGCACCTGTTGCATTCAAAAAACCTTTGGAGTTGAAGGCCAGCAACATCTGGGGGGAAGAGTTTGAGATCCCTTATTTAAAGTATTCGACTTGATGAATAATTAGGAATAATTTTACTTACCTTTTGGGTTTTATTTTTATATATCTAGGGAAAGACAACTATTATTCTGCGATGTCTTGACAGGTAATATATTTACGTTCATATTATTTATTTTGTGCAGTTTCTTGATATTTCTTTATTAACTGTTAAATATTGTGTACCATGAAAAGCTAGTAGAAAACCATAATGCATAGAAGACACTGATAATCTACAACATTAAAACGACCTGTCTATTGTTATGTACGTCCCCTTGTGCTGCCAAAACAGCTCTGATGCATCCAGGTGTGAACTCCACAAGACCTCTAAATGTGACCTGTGGTATCTGGCACCAACACATTAGTAGCAGATCCTTTAAAGAAACACTCCGGTCACCTTAACAACTTAATCTAAATCCCCTTTAAAAGGCACTTTTGGTGGTGGACAGGGGTCATCATGGGCACTCTGAGCGCTCTGCAGCTAGGCAGCCCCATACGCAGCAAACTGCAATGCACTGTGTGTCCTAATACTTTTCTATCATGTCCAGCATTACGATTTTCTTTAGCAACTTGAGCTACAGTAGCTCTTCCTTGTGATCGGACCAGGCGTGACGGATTTCACTCCCCACTTGCATCAATGCCTTGGGTGCCAATGACCTTGATACTGGCTCACTGATTGTCCTTCCTTGCAACACTTTTAGTAGATACTAAACACTGCATACCGGAAACACCCTACGTTTTGGAGGTTGTCTAGCAGTCACTTTTTGGCCCTTATCAGAGTCACTCAGATCTTGTTGCTTGCCCATTTTAAAAATGCAGAAACCCAATAACCTATTCACATTGTAAGAAAATGTGTGCCTTGTAAGGGGGGCATCCTAAAACCTGGTACCAAGATGTAGATGCTCTAGGGATTAACATTTATTCACTTCTTAACAACCCTGATTATAAATCATTTAACTGTATATTAATTATTTATAATCAAATGAGAACTTAAAGTAAACATAGCACCTCATTTAAAATCGATATAATGTTAAAACTGTAAAGTGAATTACCGTTTTTGATAGCATCTTGTTCTCATTCAGTGGTCTGCGTGCACATAGAGTCCCTTTAATGTTGTCTTGTAACACAGGGTTGAGCAAGGTGTTGTTGCACTGTACCCTGCCAGCCTCTAACAACATGCTTCTCAGGTGCCATTCATGTTCCTTCATCTTATCTAAAAGGGATTCTGTTTGCATGACAGGGATGAAGTACCCAAGCCGACCTTGGCACTAGAATATACGTTTGGAAGAAGAGCGAAAGGACACAACACAGTAAGTTTTGGAAACCAGTGGTTTATGTTAAATATATGGAAGGTCTATAAACTGATGATTTGATTACGCCACAGAGTATAAATGTTTACAAAAATTCTGAAAATAGATAATAGCACAGTGCATTAATTAGTTCACCAGTCATAACTAATGATTCAGAGTATCATATCAGATTCATTCAGCACTTTAATATAAATAATTACAGTATCGAGAATAAAGTGCTCTAGTGCAAAAGAGATTGTAGCTACTATCACCAGTGTTTTGTCACTCTCTGTAAACACATAAAACATGAACTAAATAACATACAAGGTGAGAGCTAACAACACACACAGTGTATACTACCACTTTCGGTCTGACTTTAGATGAATGTATTCAGAGATATTCTGCAATGAAAATACAGAGACCATAGTGTAGTATATACAATATAAAATGAATCTGCAAAAAACAAATCAGTTTCACTCACATGTTGCTGAGCCTATTATTATAGCAGGCTCAGACTTTTAGCATATAGACAGGTATCTCCCTCTGGATCTTTCTTGCTCACAGATATATCTTCAATACGATCACCGCACAAATCAGGTTCCAGGCAGGTGAAGTATAAAAATGTGATTTATTAAGGGAAATAATATTCTAAATATGGGTTAAAATTTAAAATTAAACTAGTACACAGCAGCACTAATGCGTTTCAACCATTAAAGGACCACTATAGGCACCCAGACCACTTCAGCTTAATGTGGGTGCCAGGTCCAGCTAGGGTTAACTCTTTTTTTTTTTTTTTTTATAAACATTGCAGTTTCAGAGAAACTGCTATGTTTATGTTAGGGTTAATCCAGCCTCTAGCGGCTGTCTCTTGATTTTCACAGTGAGAAGACTCCAGCGTCCATAGGAAAGCATTGTAAATGCTTTCCTATGAGACTGGCTGAATGCGCGCACAGCTCCTGCCTCGCATGCGGATTCAGCCGAAGAGGCGGAGAGGAGGAGGTGAGCTCCCCGCCCGGCGCTGGAGAAAGAGGTAAGTTTAACCCCTTCCTCCCCCCTCAGCGCCACAGGAGTGGGACCCTGAGGGTTGGGGCACCCTCAGGGCAATATAGTGCCAGGAAAACGAGTATGTTTTCCTGGCAGTAAAGTGGTCCTTTAAGGTCTTTATCAAAGTGCATATGAATCAGTCTGTGTTTTCATAATTTGCATGGCTTTTTCCAAATCTCACGCGTTTTTCCAGGACTTCCGGGTTTGTAGTGCAATCTTCTCATCATGACATTCGGTGTTCTACCGTAACGTCTGACGCCATTGACATCCCGATCTAGCATCCGACGTCATCACGTGAAGATAGATCTTTGATCTTATATGCCGACTAGCATGCCATCTTACATTCTGGCAAGTTAGTCTTTTTCATTTAATATTATACACCACAGTCCTTGCATAAGTCCATTATTAATACAAAACATAAAAAAATACCTGTAATAACATAATTAGTATAAAAGGGGGGTGGATCTACTAAAGTGGTCAAAAATATATAAACATTATATCGATCTTGGTAGTTACACCCCCTTTTTTCCCTTCTGATATATTTTCTTATTTGGTACACAACCTTTTAGATAAATAGGTATAGAGATGTATACTAATTATGCTATTTCAGGTATTTTATTTATGTTTTGTATTTAATTATGGACTCATGTTAGGACTGTGGTGTATTATATTAAATGAAAAAGACTAACTTGCTAGAATTTAAGATGGTGTGCTAGACAGCATATAGGATTTAAGATCTCCAAATAATTTCATATTTTTGGATGAACTTTTAAAATGATTTTTATTATGAACATTATGAAAAATATTTAATTTAAAAAAAATATTTTTCAAATATATTGATATATATTTTTATCTATGAACTATATTTCGATATTTAAATATCTTGGAGAAAAAAAAACATTTTAAAAAGGTATCCAAAAATATTAAACAATTTGGAAAGCTTACCCAACAATATTTAATTGAGGCCATGGATAGCCGTTCCTCATCCTGTGATGGAAACCGTGCTGGAGATCTAGGAATCTGACTAGCTGTGAATGAGAGCACTATAAGGATGAGATACTTGTGTTTGTTTTGTTTGGGTTTTTTTAGGCTTAGATTGAGATAGAATTCTAATACATAGTTCAGTAAAGCTATCTTTTGGCAGTCAAAACCCTTTGTAAGGCCTTGACACATACTTGTTGGAGCCAAAAATGTATTGTGCCAGAACCTGTGTCCTTGGACTCACTTTGGCGTACCTGACAGTCTCTTAGTTAAAGGTTTAGGAGTTGATAATGCTGGCTGGCTCCCATGTGACCCTGTAAACCTAGCCTATACTGTCACGGAATAAAATTTCCACTTGGTACTAGTCATTGGTGATTTAAAATGTAGCCTTGATAAGTAGAAATTCACCCATGGAGGGTATGCTACGACTTGCAGTGGCAATTAATGTCTAAGTCCTGGTTAGTAGCATAGGACTATACATTTTAAACCCTGCATCTTTATTCTGCTTTGTTAATACACGCCTGATATAATTATACCTACACCAAGTGAACTTGCTGAAGAGTTCACAGGAGAATTCCTTATACATTCACACTTGCACTACTATGATTAGATAACATTTCTGATTATTATCTTTTGAGTAGCAGAATGTACTAGCTTTATCTATAGTTTCAAAGTTTGTGTGCTTCTTAAAAAATGCTGACTATATCAAAGTGATCTAAGAGTTCATCTAGTAAAAACTTCCACTTTTATGAGATAAATCCGACTTTGTTTTAATTCCATCTTCAGTAAGTAGCCTTTTAACCTAGTTGTAGTTAATGTTTTTGTTTTTTTGCATAGTATTTAAAATGATATACGGTTTACTATTTAAACAAACTCCAAATACACAAACACTTCAGCTTGCTGAATTTTTGTGTCTGGAGTTTGTCATTCTTATTTTATTTTATACCTATAAAAGGGATGATTTCAATAGAAATCAACACTTTGATAAATTCGTGCCACAAAGGTAACGGAAGTAGCAGACGCGGTAGGCTAAAGTGTGTCTGCCTTTACCTCGCTTGGCTGTATGCCGTTTGGCTGTGCTCAACCCTAGAGACTTCTCAGTGGTCAATCCACTGGCACCGAATAAGCGTAAAATAGGATGGGGCTACCAAGAGGAAGAGCAGGGTTACACTCTTGGTGTAACGGGTTCATAAGGAGCTGCAAAGAAGGGCACAGTGTTGTATTTGAGTGCGTTAAAGAGTGCTGAACTCACTGTTTTGTTTTTTGTTTTTTAATATGTTATTTAGGAAAGTGTCTAAAACAAAAGCCGCAGTTCTACAACTCGAATGATTGATTGTTATTGTGGATATTCAGTAAACTGAGATTTAAGGAATTGACAAGGGGATTGCATATATCAACCATGCTGAAAAGGTCACTATAGTTGATTCTTGTTTTTTTAGTGTATTTTGTGTACCCACTTCAGCTTTTATGTCTTATAATTTACCCATGGTTCACTAACGCCAGCGTTTACTCTTGAGATGGTATCTGAAAAGAATCTACAATGATCAACTAATGGGTCTATTTTCCAAGCAGTGAGTTATCTGACAAGTTACATGCGGGACAAAATCTCCAGCTTATCGGAGTTCACTGTATTTCTCTAACCTGGTATAATACTAATCACATGAACTCAATGTACCTTTATTTTATCACTTCTCGTCCACAACATAGATGATAAAGCACTAATTGGCGTTGTAACTTTCATAACATACACATTTTACAGTACATTATAAAAATATGAGTTGTATAACATTTTTCTTGTTTTACAGAACACTATGTATTTTATATATTAATAAAATAATTACTGATAAAAGTTTAAAGCCAGATCTGTGATGGATAATTAAAGTGTTTTTTTCACAGACTGTGATTTATTTAGTTATTTTTTTTTTTTTGATCACCCCTCCTCCCCCACCATCTATCACTATTGGATTTTCCAGCTGTGGTCATTTTCTAGCGTTTGGAGGGGTGTTAGGTCTCTTCCTTTGTCTGCTCTTTCCTGTGCATGCTCAGTCCACCCTACACTTCCAATAATCACCAGCAGGACTGACCATGCACAGGCTCTTGATGTTTGACATGGACAGGTGAGAATTCAGGGGAAATTTTCACTTTAAACTAGGCTGTTGTGTCTCCTTCATAAGGAAAGAAAAAGCACCTCAATCCTCACAAATAAAGGAAGAATAGCCTTTACTTAAGTAAAGTTTGCATCACTGCTGGGCCATGTGGGGGAAGTGCTGGATTAATGCTGGCGAGGTTCATGCCTACACCTGCACATCATCAGAAAATTTCACTTGACAAAGGAAGAGGAAGTAAAGCTTGTTTTTCCAGTTTTGTCAAGTAGGAGAAAATAGTAGTCCCTACTTTGCCTTATGTATTTTAAGAGAAATAAATCGCATAAGAAGAAATAAAAAACAAATTGATAATATTGAGAAACAGGAGATTTAGAGACAGGAAGAAAAGAAAAATTGAGTGAGAAAGGTACGTTAAATGTAACAGAGCCGCTTTAGTGACAGCATATGCAGTTGTATATATCATTTTTGGCTAGTTATTTTTGTTCCTTGGCTGTTTTGTACTACATTTGGCTGTCTGTGCATCAAGGGAAATGTAGTACAGAATAACTGAACCACTAAAGATTACACATCACTGCTGTAGATCTACAACAGAACAATGAGTCCCTTATATGAAGAGAGTATGCACAAGCCAAAAACAATGCATATTGCTACAGGTGATATATAGGGTAAGCCCATTGATTATACATCAGTAGTTAAATACAATAAGGATTTGGGCATCTCCTGATCAGGTGCGCCATTTCCTCTCCCGCACTGACATACCTTCTAGCAACAAAAATGCCACTGATCTACATCTGCCTGTGTGCGTTTCATTAAATGTCCTTGTATTATTTTTGCAAGATATTTGTATCATCTATATTGTTATTTGCCTATTTCATTTTTCATGTTCGTATGATTCCAAAAAGTAACTCTTAACTTAATATAAAGGTGTTATTTCATATTAAATGTGCTTTGCAGCCCAAAGATATTGCTCACTTTTGGGAACTGGGTGGAGGAACATCATTACTGGATTTAATCCGCATACCAATAACAAGTGAAAGTTTAAGGCAAGTACTGAGAGTATGGCGTGTTTGAATGTGTAGTATGTGTAAACCAATAACCAATACCTGTATTATTGAGAAATATACGCACCCAGTCATTTTCGATGACATAAGAGCTATCGGTATGTAAAACATATTTTATTACATAGTAACATACTAAGATGCACACCAGTGTGCCAAAGCAACCTATGTGTGCTTAAGCTAAGGCAGTGGTTCTTAACCCCTGGGGTGGGAGCCAAAATGGGTCACTGAAGGAGCAGGTACATCACACTCATCAGAATCAAGCCAGCTGTAAATTGTTTTCTGTAGCAGTATTGCTTTCCCAGTGTAGGAGGGATATCTTTGAGATGATGAAGAATCTACTTAGTATATTGGAGAATTGATGATTTTATTGTCAGTAATATTACTGAGTGGGTGACTAAGCTAATGTTTCAGTTGAAGTATGGAAGAAAAAAATCTAAGGCACTCACTGTGATAAATCAAGCAGATTTTTTTTCTTTTATACTTGATCTTATGGGATATGCTGACCCATGCTCAGTTAGCACCCTATGATTTTTATGATTGAGTGTGGTCCCTTTCAATTGAAGAATGGGTCACCAAGCAATTCTAGATATAAAGTAAAACTTTGAATCTGCCAGTTCACAAACACATTTTTAACTAAATGAGACTCTGGAAACATTTGCTCAATTTATGTTTATTTTGGTGTATTGAAGGGTTACAAAAATGGAACACCATACTGTAATGGGTGCTATTGTATGTGGTCTCTGCATTCTCACTCTTATATGTCGTTGCCTTTTTTTGTTTTCTCAGTTTATGTTCTCATTTAATGAATTTCCATTTCTTGACAGTAAAATGGAGAGTAGACAGGTTTTGAACCAGGGCTTCTATAAATATTAGTGAATCTGGATAATAATTAGTTACAAGTATTGGTAAAGCTGTGAAAATGTGTTCTAATCCTCAGCATGTTAAATACAGTACCCTTAGGAAATATGAGCAAAATGGGCTGTGAAAATGTTTCTTTATTGATTAACCTTTTGCTATTTTGTTCAAAAAATACATAAAAATAATCTGCTCTCATTGATATCAAACAATTGCAATTGTTGTGTTTGCAATTGTTTGAAATCCACAAGAGCAGAGTAATTTTTGTGTACAAAAGGTTAAATAATAAATTCACTTTTCCACAGCTTTCTTTGCTCATATTTACCAAGAATGCCAATATTAGTGAAGGGCACTGTATCTGTTTCAAATTTATATATTTTATATTTAATTTATATTTTTTCTTTCTTTTTTTTTTTTTTTATCGGAAGGAAAACAAAACAAATACCAAATAACACTCTTTTAATTTTATTATCTCTCAGTACATTCTCTGTAGTTCTTGTTCTCGATCTTTCAAAACCAGATGAGTTATGGTCATCAATGGAAAGTCTTCTACATAGCACCAGGAATCATGTGAATAAAGTCATAGCAGATATTGGAAAAACAAATTCCAAACTTGCCAATCAAATAAAACAGGACGTGTGGAAAAGTATGCCAAAGGACCATCCAGTATGTGTTTGTTTTTTGGGGGTCTTTTCTTTTTTACATTTGACATGTAGATGTCCATCTTATTATTTTGTGAAATCTTAGATAGAGCTAGCTTTTTTAGATGTGTCCAGATGTGGTGTTCTCAGTGGTGTATTCTGGTTTCGTGCTGCCCTATGCAGCAATCCCTCCCCCCCTTCCAATGTTCTTCTCCTGACAGACACATGCCCTCCCTGATGCATGCACAGACATACACTCACTGACAGATACACAGTCATTGTCACACACATTGTTTAACCAAAACACTTTCACTGAAACATACACATTCACAGTTACACTAATTTACAGCAAAGAACTGGAAAAGATATGACAGAGACTATTGGAGGTGTAATCCCTGCACACAGAACTATAATTTTCAAAACTGGTATTTGATACACTTTTTTGAATAATATAGTACTAAACCTAAAAACATTTTTATTTAACCATTTCAGTGGCAGAGATGAACAGTTTATTTTCAAAGTAAAGATTAAGTGATATTTGAATATAACTTGCAGCATTAAACAGATTTTAGGATTAAAACAGTCTGGCACAAGTCTTTGTATTGACTGATTTTGTATGAGTAGTCTACTGTATTACTGAAGCCATTGCTTTTTATTTGTTTGTTTTCTTGTAAACAGGACAGAGAATTAATTGATCCATTTCCAATACCCTTATTAATTATCGGGAGCAAATATGACATTTTTCAGGTAAGTGTTTTAGCATCCACAAGGCACATTTGGGGGAATTCCCATATCTGCTTATTTTATTGCATTTTATTCATAGTTATCGTGTCTTCGCAGTTTTTTGTTATGCAAATCATAACAAAACTAAAAAACCTGTTTGTAAATGGGGAAAAAAAGAACATAACAATTAGCAATTTTTTATTATAGCAGTTCATCGCAACCAATATGATTTTAAATGTTTTGCACTGCAAACGCTCTTTGTGGAGTTGAAAGATTTATTACGAAAACCTGTTACTCGATCTTATATTGAAAATGAAAATCCAGCGCACTCGCTTATCTACTAAACAGTCATTTTAATGCTGAACAATTTTCAGTTTTATTAAAAACACCTAATCTAGGCAAAAAAATATAATGGGGGTTTAGTTACAGTATATGATCATACATTGCATAAGCCTGCCACAAAGTCAATGTACCCCATCTTTGGCAGGTCCTACTCTGTCTGCTAAATGAGCTTCTCACTTGGGGAAATCCTTCCATCTCGAGGTCTCTGCAGTACAATGCTTAAATAGGATCCTGAGATGAGGCACCTGTAACAGGGAGGGGTGCAAAACCCATGGAGCTGGCTCCAATATATTTTTTATTTGGGCAGTGGAGTGTACTTGGTGTGTAGTCATCCAGGTTATGATTCCCTGTGTACCTGGATTTAAATTTAAAGGCATACACATCATCTAACCTATGTAGGCTGTTTTAGCTTATTTTATCTCTGCTATCTCTAAGTCTAATACAGCCAGGAAAGTAAAATATTTGACGTGTCGCTATGTATGTAATGATGTGATCACTGGACTCTTCTTTTCTTGATTTTAGGATTTTGAATCTGAAAAGAGAAAAGTAGTTTGCAAGACACTTCGATTTGTGTCACATTACTACGGAGCTTCATTGATGGTTTGTATGTTTTGGGAGATTGTTTTTATTTAATTATGGATGAGTCTGTTTCAAAAATATCTTATCATAATGAGGAGCAAGTACCAAATTTAACAAAATGTTGCTGTCCATCAAAAGTATAAACCCTGTGAATGTATTTACTAGGCTCCAGTTTTTACCTAGAAATGTAAAATATAAAAGTCTTACCTATGAATTTAAAATGTTACGCGCCAGTTGGATCAAGGACTATTCATGCATTCATTAGAAACAAACAAAATAAAAACAATTTTTTTTTGTTTCTTTGTGCAACATCACCTCTAGCAGAAGCTGATTGGCTGTCATTAGTTCATCAAATTCTGATCACTGTGCCTCTAAATTCTCCAGTACATTGGTATATATGGCCAACTTGTTTTTTTTTTTGTTTTTTTTTCAAAACTTGTTTAAAAATCACAAACGTTCGTTAATATTAATAAAAAGCTTTACATTTTTAAAAGCTGAGTGAGTACACAGGTTTTTCTTGCACATGGCCTTATGTTACTGACACTTCCTGAACTTCGTAACACTTACGCAAAGAAATCAGTTTATTCAATATTAGGCTCAACAGTTAGGACGATTAGAATGTTCTCCTATTTGTTTATATTATAGTGATGCATTTGTGTAGTTCGTTTTTTTTTTTTTGTACATGTTTAATAAAATTGTAAATACCTGAATAATTGAACAGTCTTCCTTTTTTCACAGTTTACAAGCAAATCTGAGGTGCTCAAAGCGGTAACTCGGTCATTTATAAATCATTTGGCATTTGGACTGGACAAAAGGTGATTTTTAACTGTCATTGGATTTCCAAATTAGATATTTGCGAAGTGGAAATCTGGCGTTCATACAAGTAAAAAGTCTGCTGATAAATGGTCAGAATCTCAGATTCACATCTACCAATTCAAGTTACATAATAAATTCAAATGCTTTTTGCAGGCAAAACTTCATAAATCCACAATATTTAAATCAAATAAATAAATTAAATATATTGAACCCCTAATCTCCTATTAAATAGCCTTACACCATAGGCTGTGTTCGCTTAAATGATAGAGTGGGTGAGAGGCTGTTCTGTAATTAACCCTCACACCACCACTAGTTTAAATATATTTATTACTTGCTTAACTATTTGCCATTCACAGTTTTGCATTTGCAGAAGTTCCATGATCATAAAAAACATTGAGCAGATTCACTGACTGCAAAAATGTGATTAATTTAATGATCAGCTAAGTAAAGCATGTCCCAAGTGTGCTTCAATAAACTGTCATAGCACACTATGAATCTGAACAGTTATTAGAATGGATAGCTAACACACTCTAGGACAAATATTCTATTGCGTTCTGTATTTTCTCAATTTTAACTTTTATCTGGTGTTTTTGTACAGCAAATCTGTGTCAGTGGATCATAATAAACCGCTTCTCATTCCAGCAGGGTCCGATTCGTTAAGCCAGATTGGTGAGTATTACACTATTAATTATTTTAAAAAGAATTTCTTCAAATGTACTTATTTTGTACATAAGATATGACAATCCTGAATTCTGTCTATTTTTGAATCAGGTTCTCCTCCAGCTTCCAGTAGTGACCTACGACAGTTCAGTGGGAGCACACCTATGGAATTATGGAAGAATGTATACAAGAGATACTTTACTCCACAGGTAAAATATTTCATGTTTTTAATTATATATAAGATACATAGTTGTGAACAGTATATTTTTTGAAGAAAGTGGGGCAGGGGGACCTCTTAATAAACCATTGAGATGAATTTTTTTTTTAACATTTTAGAAAATTAAAAATCTTTTTTCCTAGAGTGTAAATGACAAGAAAGATGTGAAGGACCCTGCCAAAGATCCACAGTATGCAGAAAGTGAAATTGACTCGATGCGGGCTCAAAAAGACCAGGTAAGGGTTATACGTATTAGAATAAATGCATATCACTAAAGATGGTAGCGTTATTCCCCTATATTAAATCTGCAGAGACCAATATCACACAGTGTCTTTTATACAGAGCCGGTAATAGTAATTTGTATTAAAATGAAAAGACACATGCCATTGCACAGACAAAATAGATGGTATACATAGTTATCTGTATTAAATTAATGCAAGTGTTACAACCTACTGGTTGGTTTGCTTGGAGAGGAACTCTGTTGCAGTGGGATGGCAACACCCTTGCAATCATGACCTTCCCAGGTGTCTGGGAATTATACGGGAACCTGGGGAATCTATGAGGGCATGGGCGCCTCTTTTTACAGAGAAAGCGATAAAACCGTAAAGGAGTAGACAGGAAGCAGAGTCAGGTGCTTCTGACAGGCAGCAAAGAAACAAAGTCAAGAATTAAGCCGGAGGTCAGAAGCCAGGAATTGCACGATTAGGGAGCAGAAAGAGAACAGAAGCCGAACAGAAGTTCAGAAGCCAAAACTTTTGTCAGTAACCAGGAGGCAAGAATTAGGAGCATGAATCTGGAATCAGGATCAAGGAGCCGAGAATCAGGATCCAGAAATAAGAATCTGGATTTAAGAACCAGGACGCTAGGAGACTGGGGCAAGCACCAGAACAACAAGGCACTGACCAAGTGCAGTGTTTGGGTATTTATTGGGAGAGCTTATCACGTGAACAGACCCCTGCAAGCGAGCTCCCAGTAACAATAACGGAGAAGCTGGGACTTGGCACCTTGGTTGTGTCAGGGCGCCTCCTGCCTGCTCTCCCAGCAGCCTAGCCCCATCCTGACTGACTCAGCACACTGCGTGGACGTGCACGCGACGCCTGGTGCCAAAGGAGGACACAGGATGAAGACAGGGGGAAGCACCGTTGGAGCAGAAGCCACGAGGACTTCCTCCTAGGATGCAGGGGGCGTGCTGAAGCAGGTCGAGCAGGTAAGTGCTGGTGGGTACCGTGACAGCCACATGAGGGGGTGCCTTATAGATAAGTGGACATATCACTATTTGTATATTCAATATACTTTTAAAATATTCCCTAAAAGGTAACTTTAGTGCAAATCACTATCTGTGCAGCCACGTAGAGCTATAAAAGGGTCATTTTCCCCAGCAGTGATTAAAACTATTCTTTTATTATCTTATCTGTAATTGATATATCACTAAAAAAAATGCCTACTAGTAAGGCAATTGGCAAACCTAGACAGTCACCGAACGAAGAGTCAAACAATTATCTTCACAGCAAAATGCTATCATAGTGCAAAGGTTTCCTTGCTTAATTTCTCATATCTAAAAGTTTTCTTTTTTTGGATTAGCACACATTTATATTGTTATATTGTTATACAATGCTAACTTGTACACATCAAAATTCTGTTTATATAAGTAACATGCAGCATGTTTTAAATGGCAAATCATCATCCCTCCAGTTACACTTGTTACAAAATCTCGCTGACCTGGTAAAATACATCTGCAGTCACTCTTTTTAGATTGTAAGCTCCTCTGAATTTGCTTTTCATCAACATGAATGTTTTGACACTTTTGTATGTGTAGTACTTTGAAATATGCTGCTATATAAATGCAATTCATATTCTATGTAAAATGTACACTTATCAGCCACTGAGGTGAAAGAGACATTAGAGCTGTTTTGGCAGCACGAGGGGACCTACATTTTAATTAGATGGTTTTAATGTCAGTGTAATTTCAGTGTAACCACTAATAGTTGTATGATCAGTGTAATTTCTATAAATAGTTAATGTAGCTAAATTAAGTATAATGTTGCTAGATCATTTTGGTGCTTTTAAAATAAAATTGTAATATAGCATGGTAAAAGCTGTAAACAGATTTAAATCACATTCGATTTTACCACAGTTCTTGTATCTAATTATTACCAGACAGTGCATCTTTTCCTTGACAATTAAAAATAAATAAAAATAATGTGGATTCGGCTAACTATAGTCTTTGGACACCAGGGTCCTTTCTTAAGAGGGTTCGAGTTCTCTATACTTAGTTTTCTTCTGGTGAATGGGAGGGCTGAAGCTTGATAGATATTCATAATAATATTATAACTCAAGTTTGTATGCTGCCGCAACTTCCTCTATGTTGAGTGAGTGGTTCTCATGGAGCGTCTCTCCAAGGCCATGCCAGGAAATGCCTAGTTTGCTAGAATGGATGTGTTATACCCTCTCTGTCTCACCTATGCTACCTAGTCCACCAGCATAAGAATGGCTATCCCACACCAGGTAATGTCAAACAATGCACAGTCTCCTGGTTTAATTTATGTGGAATGATGCCCAGACCCCAGCATAATAATACCTTCAGACCCAATTACTGACCAGTGATGCCCAGATTCCAAGGCTAATAATAGCTCAAACCCAAATAGTGATCAGTGAAATCCACATCTACAGTATAATAATAAGCCCTGTCTGAAGTAGTGACTGGGGATGGCCAAGTCTGTGGCAGAATAATACCCTACATGGTAACCAGGTATGCCCAGGTCGCTGGCATAATGTAAACATCTCACCCCAAGCAATGACCTGGGTTGCCCACTCCCATGTTGTAGTAATACACTTCATCCCAAGTAATGACCAGGGTTTCCTAGTCCCCCAGTATGATAATGCACCTTACCCCAAGTAATGTTCATAGATCTTGAAGAAAAAACGCACAATTCGATTACTGTAATTCTCTCCTAATTGGTCTCCCCAGAAACTGTACTGCCCCCCTACAAACTGTGTTGTATGCTGCTGCCAGGCTAATCTTTCTCTCCTGTCGCTTCTCTCACACCTCACCCCTCTATCGATCCTTACACTGGCTTCCTGTACCCTACAGGTGTCAATTAGCTCTTACCAGCTCTAGCCCCTATTACATTTCTTTACTGATTTATTAGTATGCTCCCTCTCGGTCTCTCCGCTCTACTGGTGACCGTCTCCTTTCTGCTGCTCGCACCCTTACTGCAAATTCACGCCTGCAAGACTTCTCATGGGCAGCTCCTTTCCTTTGGAATAGCCTACCTACCCTTGTCAGACTCTCACCTCGTCTTCAATCCTTTATGAAGTCCCTCAAACCCCATCTTTTCAGGAATGCTTATGGCCTCCAAAAGTAACTTCTATCTCTCAAACCTACCTTTCGCTCTCTCCTATAGGGCCACACTCCACTCTCTCACCTCCAGTTCTGCTACTTTCCTACCATGTCTATTTGCTGTCTCTCAATACCCCTCTTATTATGTTTTTATACCCCACCTTCTCTAGACTGTAAGCTTGTTTGAGCAGGGTCTCAACTACCTATTGTTCCTGTTACATTTTGTTATTGTCTCATTTAGTAAATTCCCCATTTATTGTAAAGCACTGCGGAATAAGCTGGCACTATATAAATACAAATAATAATAATAATTCAGTTGGGTCTGGATTAGACAGGAAACCACACTCAAAGACTCAGTTGATGAATAATAAAATTAGGTAGAACATCAGAAAACTCTCTGAAGCATTTTGTGCCCTGTATGGGTACTCTAGTCCAGGGCTCAACAAATCCCAGACGCCAGGTCGCCAAGGCGACTAGAAATTTCTGCCCTGGCTCCTGGGATTTGCCAGCTCTCTAGTTAGTGAGGCCGACCAAGGGAGTTTTGACAGTGGCCGTCACAGGGAATATTGAAGGTTGGCCGACTGAAGCAGCATGCATTGTGTGCGGCGCGTGAGGGAGCAGTACTCTGCCTGCAGTTGCTCTCTGCTTCGTTGCGCTGTCTAATGATGCCGGAAGCTGGAATATTATGTCATTCCAGCCCCCGATCATTACAGAGCGTGAGGGAGCAGAGAGAGGAGCTACAGGCAGAGTACTGCTCCTTCGCACACAGGAAGAGAGCAGCCCCACTGGACCCCAGGAAAAACCCACTCTCCAAAAGGTAGGGAGGCTGAGTGGGTTTCAATTAAAACAAAAATGTAAGGGTGTGTGAGCCTGTCAGAGTAAGTGAGTGAGTGTGTTTGTCTGTCTGTCAGAGTGCGTGTGTGTGTGCCTGTCAGAGTGTGTGTATGTGTGTGTTTTGTGAGCGAGCCTGTCAGAGTGTGTGTGTGCGAGTCTGTTGTCAACATTAGAGTGTGTGAGAGCCTGTCAGTGTGTGTGTGTATGTGCGCCTCTTTAGGTACCTGCCCCCTCCGATCGCATGAGGAAGGTGTTTTCACTCACCTTTTTTCCCACGCCGTGCCAGTTTCGCCATGGCTGAGATTATCAATTTTTATGATCTCAGCTAAGCCAATGCTGTCCCTTAGGAAAGCATTGGGATGATTTTGTGCATGCACAGCAAATGTACCAATCCACATCTCCTCATTGAGATGCATTAAATTAATGAATCTCTATGAGGAACATTCAGCTCCTCTATGCAGAGCTTGGAGACATTGAACCTGGGTGCTGCACGTGGTGCAGCAGTGACCCAGGACTCTCTAGTGGCCATCTGAGTAACTGTCACTAAGCAGTAATGTAAACTCTGCCTTTTTGCAGAAAAGGCAGTGTTTACACTGAAACGCCTGCAGGGACAGGCAGTAGACACCAGACCAGCTATATCAAGCTGTAGTGGTTCTGGTGACTATAGTGTCCCTTTAAGAGTTGCATTTTCTCGTTAAAAATGACTGGCTCCTAACTTTTTTAGCTGGCTCCTAGATTCCAAATACATTTGTTAAGCACTGCTTTTCAAATCCACAATGTGAGTTCATTGGCATTTAATAGCTGTGAATTTGGTATGTTAAAATATGATGGGAAACATACAGTGGATTTGACAATTCCAAAAACCAGGTTAATAATTTTGTTACAGAAACACTGTAGCATTAGGTATACATATCTGTATTCATAATGCTACAGTCCTGATGCCCCTTAATAAACAGGTCCACTCCCTGTAATGAGTAAAACAAAATAAATTAAGTTAAAACAAATTACTCACACTTTTCCAGCGCTGAGTCTCCCTTGGCTCTGCTGCAACCTCCTCCTTCAATGATGTCATCTTGGAGGTGTGCACCCAGGATGATGGGCCAATCCAATACTCCTCATTATCATTATTAATTTATTATTTATATAGCGCCAGAGAATTTCATAGCGCCATACATAGAAGAGCATTAGGCATCATAGGCGCATGCACGGCGCTCACCGCGACGTCCCTAAGATTCTGCCATAGAAAATCATTGAAAACAATGATTCTCTATGGCCGATCGTGATGACTCTGTGCATGATGTCTCGGTATGTTACAGTATGAGAACCGGGAAGTAAGATTCCCGGCTTTCATACCCAGAGGGCTTGGAGGTGTGCCTTGAGGCAGCGCATCTAAACCCTTTAATAAGTTAACTAGAGCGCTTTGGGGGATAGGTGAGGGGGGCAGGACTGCAGGGACTATAATGACTTCATTAATATGAGATTGTAAAATTGCCTACAGTGTCCCTTTAACCCCTTAAGGACACAACTTTTGGAATTAAAGGGAATCATGACGGAATATTTCCGTCATGTGTCAATAAGGGGTTAATTCATAAATATTACGTTTTAGATTTCTTTTTTTTCACACATTCACACTTAAAGAATTTTCATTCTTTTCCTTTTGTTTCTTTCCCCCTTTTCCCCCTGTTATATAGCATGCATTATGTTACATTTCTATTTAACCGATAGTTACCCCCAAATTTTTAGTTTGCTACTTGCTTATCGATCCCTTAATATTCACAAAATGTGACTGATAAGCCACTTGTAATACTGTATGTTTATGGTGAAGTATTTATAAACTGCACACTAGATAACACGTCAGCTGCAAACAGTGAGCATATGTACTTCAGGTCATTGACCGAGAGTTACCTGATCTAACATCTGCAGGTTCCATTTAGAGTTATCCATACCTGTCTATTGGAATCTCTGGACTGGCTATTTTCTAAAAAGGGATTGTAAGCTTTGAACCTGAAATGTTAGAGATTGTAATACATATTTCTGTGGGGGTGAAGGTGAAGATGGACAACATCAAGCCAACGGCCACAATGTACTCTTAATTACCATATGTGGCTATTGAGATATTCGAGCTATAATTGATCCATTTAAATGGCTGAATTATTTCTGTTCTCTTTTTGATGTTCTTTTTCTACAGGCCGTTGCCTATTTTACAGTCAAAGTCTTGATTCTTGATTCTGATATGTCACTTACTAACCCTGTGTTGACAATTGTTGGAATATTTGGGGGGGGGGAATGCTTAAAGGGTCTTAGGATGACCTTTTATGTTTATAATGTATTAATTAGGTTCTTTCTTACAACTTGCAAAAAAAAGTGCTTTACATGCCTGGAATCCAGCACCAAGCGAAATTCCCTGCATTGACTTCCACATCCCTTCCTGACGTTAGCCTCACACGGGACCATTCCACCAGCTCTGAGCATGGAGAGAAAGCAGGAGGGAGAGAGGTTCTAATTTATTTATTTATTCTAAAACCAGCAACTTTATTGGGTAGGTGGACAAGGGAGAAGAAGGGGAAAACCAATGCATGCTGTGTACGCTGACAGCGAACTTATTTTATGCATTGACATAATGTAGTTCTGGGATACCAAAGTCATATGTCCCTGGGCATAACTATCCACCTGTACACAAGTGCAGATTACTCCGTATGTGCAGTGTTACAAGCTGAAACACTGCACATACATACTCCTACCAACATGACCTCTTCAAATCACTTAACATAGTTGGAGGTGGTTGTTCTGCAGGACATTTGCAGAGTTATGTTTGATTTTTAATCAAAATTTAAGGTGAAAATAGCTGAAGTGGAAAAAGTCTTGTTTATTTTTGACTTTCAGTTTGGCAAAATTCGAAATTAATTTACAATCCACACTTCAGTGAATAGCCCTGTTGGTCTTTAAAGAGATACTATAGGCAAGCAGACCACTTCATCTCATTGACGTGGTCTGGGTGCAGTGTCCCCGCCCCCCTTTGTTCTGCAATGTAAAACACTACAGTTTTTGAGACAACCTCTAGTGCCTGTCTACCATAGAACCACTAGAGGCAAGTTTGCCTAACTGACGCTGGATGTCCTGACACTCGGCATGAGTTCATCGAGGATAGTAAAATGTCCATAGGAAAGAACTGAGGCAATGCTTTCCCATGGGGAGGGCCTGATGCGCACAAGGCAATTGCCGCACATGTGCCTTAGTCCCTGCAGTTGGATGATGTCAGAGGATGCAGAGCGCCAACCCAGCGCTGAGGGACATCTACGCTGGATTTAGGTAGGCAAATAAAGTTATAAAGTCCTAAACGTATATCCTTATACCCTACTATTCATTCCTCAAGCCATTATTGGGGCTTATCTATACTAGTTGAGATTAGTTGTGTCTTAGTTTACCACTCTACAGGGTGTAACAGTCCAACAAGTCCTTGTTCGTTACCCATTTTCTACTCTACCAGGCCAGTTCTGTCTGTCCACACCAATTTTAGGCAAATAAAGTTGTTGTTTTTTTTCTCTTTCATGCTGAGGAGGGGGCCCATAGGGCTCTATAGAATAAGTTGGCACTGTATAAATACCAATAATAATATAGTGTCAGGAAAGAGAAAACTCCTTTTATTTTGTGTGTATTTTTTTATTATAATTCTTTATTGAGAATGTTATGAATACAAGCAGTTACAACAGTTTTAGAGAGAATTGTAAATATAGCATACAGTCAAAGATCCATAAAATACAGCTCAGAAGGATAATGTTACCTTATTGAGACACGACAGAACTGCGAGTCATACAACTTTGGGTCTCTAGAACCAATTAATGTGATCTTTTGTGTGTTCACTGTTATTACACAAGGGGTAACCATGTAAAACCATGTAACCTGAGAAAATAACTGGAGGGGTGGTGAGGTAAAACATCCGGTTACTGCAGCCACGAGGTAGGCAATGCTATGTGTATATGTGTTAAAGGCAACAGTGCTGCACCTAAGTAATGTTTAACCCCTGTGACAATAAGTATATGCTAAAAAAAAAGATCAGCAAAGGAAAGGGAGGGAAGAGTATAGAGGTGGACAAGTGCAAACTATGTACATAAGTGGGAGAGAGGAGGGTGGTTTGTGTTCTGGTTTGGCCATATGGTGTTGTTTTTAATGGCTGCAATCACCATTGGCGCAATGCTAAGTGGGTCTAGTTATGTATTTTGACAAAATAATTTGCTAAATACTTAGAGAAGGAAAAAAGCAGAAAGTTAAAAGGTCAGGAAGAACATGTCCCCCATTTCAGACATAGTTCAGTCATCGTATCAGTCATCGTATCGCCACTCTTTGTCCAAGAGGCGTCTAGGTTCCCATTCATATACAAACATATTTTCCAGAACTGGACTGTACAGAAGCTAGCCATAGTCGACAATATTGAGGACGTTGCACACTGGTGAAAGTGGTGTCTCTACATAAGACCTCTCAAACCTGTAACCATCTACCTTTTGTTGATCTATAGCTAATGTCCAACCATCCATAGTCTGCCAACACATCTTAGGTTATAGTTGATCAGCACCTGTTTACTGGTTATTCCTGCTGTATATAAGTCCTGTACTGGAGTATGATGTTAGATCGTTTTGCTGTGTTAAGTTAAGGTATGACAGCAGGGGTTCTCCCTCCACATATTAATATAAAACATTTGCCCTCCTCTCTTCTATATTGTGCTAACTTCAATATAGTGTGTAATTCCCTTTAAGGCAATGTTACATACACAGGTAGACATGGCAGTATAAAAAAAAGAGCAACTTAAATAATAATAAAAAAGGAAATATACTCATTTTGAATAGTTAAAGGGACACTATATTGTTAGGAATACAAATATGTATTCCTACCACTACAGAGCCCTAGTCACCGTTTAGGTCACTAGGGCATCGTTCCGCGGCAAATATTTGCTTACCTTAATCCAGCACCGGGCTCCCTCGGCACTGGTGACCTCTCGTCCTCCATCGACGTCAGCTTCCGAGTGGAGCCGAATGCGCATGCGCGGCCAGAGGCTCGTGCACGCATTCAGACCCGCCCATAGGAAAGCATTACTCAATGCTCTCCTATTGGGATCTTTTTTGACGCTGGACTCCATGAGGACGTCCAGCGTCAAATAAGTGCGATTTACTAGATGCTGGATTAACCCTCTCCGAAACTGCTTTGTTTTTATCTGCAGGGTTAAAACTAGGGGGACCTGGCACCCAGACCACTTCATTGAGCTGAAGTGGTCTGGGTGTCTATCATTGTTTGTGAACCTATGGCATTGAGGCCTATGAGATGGCATTTAAAGTCTGTTAAGGGTAGGCAGCAGTTTTCGTAGAGAGAACTCCACCCAAGATGGGAGAGAAGAAGCGATTGCGATTGAGAGGGGCAAGCCGTATTGATTTGTTAGGAAAGCTAAAATGGTTTAGTGGAATAAGGAGCTGTATTACTCATATGAAGGATATGAGGCAGACTGAAACGAGTACTGATCTGGTGAGGGAGAAGGAGAATGATATGCATGGTAGGCAATATTTTGTATAAATAACATTAGAGCACACAGTAAACACAGACACAGTTTATTTACTTTTTAACTAGGCTTGGTCGTGGTGTTTATTCAAAATTTAAGGGGATTACAATTATAATTTTCATAACGATAAACATTTAACCTTTTAAAACTTTTAACTTTATTAACCACTAAATTGCCAGTCCGTTTTAGATGACCTGAAAACCTTTTAATTAAAACCATCTACTAACATATCCTTCCTCAGAATTGGACCCTGAGGATGACTTTTGCCTCCAATACTATATAAGAAAAACTAGTTACGGCGCACTCAGACTTGTAAATTAATAACTAAGAAGGCTAACGCCTATCTAAGAATAAATATGGGGATTTAGTTCCACCATATGGCCATATGATGTTAAGCCCACTACTACTTCAAAGTACCCCAATATCAGTGGGTCCTACGCTAATAACAAAAATGTGGGAGATAAATTAAATAGTACTAGTGCTAAACATAAGCTACAGTGTATTGAATTCATTTCTTTGTAAGAGCAAAGTGAGTATACAATAGTGATAAAAGCTATTAAAAACAGTGTAACAACTAAACAATTAAAGTGTTGGTGCTTGAATGAGTATACTCACATTTGCAGATAATATCTGTGCTGCATAAAAAAATAATAAAAGTGACATGACTATAAAATTCCTCCTATTTATACACACCTGTGGCCACCTCTAAAGAGGTCTCTGAAGCTGGGGGGCCTGGGCGGGGTGCTTAACCCCAAAGGAATCTGGTCTGGATTCCAAATATAATTGCACAAAGGAGAGATTGGGGGCACACCCGTATACATGAAAGGTGCTGCCGCAGTGACCAAAATTCATACAGAAAAACTAGTTACGGCGCACTCAGACTTGTAAATTAATAACTAAGAAGGCTAACGCCTATCTAAGAATAAATATGGGGATTTAGTTCCACCATATGGCCATATGATGTTAAGCCCACTACTACTTCAAAGTACCCCAATATCAGTGGGTCCTACACTAATAACAAAAATGTGGGAGATAAATTAAATAGTACTAGTGCTAAACATAAGCTACAGTGTATTGAATTCATTTCTTTGTAAGAGCAAAGTGAGTATACAATAGTGATAAAAGCTATTAAAAACAGTGTAACAACTAAACAATTAAAGTGTTGGTGCTTGAATGAGTACACTCACATTTGCAGATAATATCTGTGCTGCATAAAAAAATAATAAAAGTGACATGACTATAAAATTCCTCCTATTTATACACACCTGTGGCCACCTCTAAAGAGGTCTCTGAAGCTAGGGGGCCTGGGCGGGGTGCTTAACCCCAAAGGAATCTGGTCTGGATTCCAAATATAATTGCACAAAGGAGAGATTGGGGGCACACCCGTATACATGAAAGGTGCTGCCGCAGTGACCAAAATTCATACAGAAAAACTAGTTACGGCGCACTCAGACTTGTAAATTAATAACTAAGAAGGCTAACGCCTATCTAAGAATAAATATGGGGATTTAGTTCCACCATATGGCCATATGATGTTAAGCCCACTACTACTTCAAAGTACCCCAATATCAGTGGGTCCTACGCTAATAACAAAAATGTGGGAGATAAATTAAATAGTACTAGTGCTAAACATAAGCTACAGTGTAATACATGTAGAAATGAATTCAATACACTGTAGCTTATGTTTAGCACTAGTACTATTATTTTGAAGTATTGAGTGGGCTTAACATCATATGGCCATATGGTGGAACCAATCCCCATATTTATTCTTAGATAGGCGTTAGCCTTCTTAGTTATTAATTTACAAGTCTGAGTGCGCCGTAACTAGTTTTTCTGTATGAATTTTGGTCACTGCGGCAGCACCTTTCATGTATACGGGTGTGCCCCCAATCTCTCCTTTCCAATACTATATAACACCAGGACAACACAATTAAAATAAAATTAGAGGGAGGGCGGAGGTCCGTCAGCTCTTGCCTCCGTAACCGCAGACAGGATTACGCTTGCGCTGCTGCATTTGATCTTTCCCAGCTTCCCATGCTTTTAACGCTCGTGACCTTCTCCCAGGCCAGCTCCAGTTCCAGCAAGAGCAATGCAGCACTTATGTTCATTTTAAACCTGTCTAACTGTAAAACCGCAACAGTTCTAAAAACTTCCATGGATTCTCTATATCCATGGCTACATGGCAGTTTAAAGGAACACTATAGGGTCAGGAACACAAAAAAAGTATTCCTGACCCCATAGTGTTAAAACACCATCTAGCCCACCCCCCTTGACCGCCTAAATATAGTTAAAAAATTGCCTTTATTCCAGTCTGCTGCTGGCTCTGCCCCTGATGTGCCTGCTTGGCTAAAATCATCAGAAGTGATTCTCTCAGCCAATCACAATGCTTTTCCATAGGAAGCATTCAATTGGCTGATATTGTCAAAGAGGCCGATCAAAGGCAGAGCCAGCACAAGCCAAACACAGCCCTGGCCAATCAACATCTACTCATAGAGATGCATCGAATCAAAGCATCTCTATGAGGAAAGATGCATGTCTCCATGCAGAGGGTGGAGACAGTAAATGCCATTCACACTGTGAAGCATTGCCCCAGTAAGCATCTGAGGAGTGGCTGGTGAAGGTATCCCTAGGCTGTAATGTAAACACTACAGTTTCTCTAAAAAGACAGTGTTTACTGTAAAAAGCTTGAAGAGAATGATTATACTCACCAGAACAAATACAATAAGCTGTAGTTGTTCTGGGACTATAATGTCCCTTTAACTCCTTCCTTGCCACCATACATATATGCCACAGTGATTAAAGAACCAATCCAACCTCCATTTTTTATTTTAAAGTTAAATTCATTATTTAGTAGATAGGTGAAGTGAATACATGTTGGCATTTCTAGGAAGCCTCTGAATCTGTGAGCACGGGTGCGTGCACATCGGTTCGTGCACGCGCATCTGATCTAAAGTCTGTAAAGGAGCTAGTCTGAGGTCTGAAGATTCAGAGATCCTGTTCTGAGGTCTGTAAAGGAGCTGGTCTGTGGTCTGAAGATTCGAAGATGCCGGTCTGAGATCTGTAAAGAAGCTGGACTGAGGTCTGAAGATTCAAAGATGCTGGTCTGAGGTCTGTGGGGAAGGAGGCAGGGGCGCTCAAGTAGAGTGCACCTGCCACTTCCGTTAGCTCAGGGAAGATAACGGAAGGAGTTTCATAGTTTATTTATAAAAGTGCTGATATCTCAAATAAACACTTTTATAAACTGGAGTAAAAATAGGATATTAAAAATCAGCAAACTGGAGTGCTTTATAAGTGTGGAGTGGTCCTTTAATGCGTGTGGCTTCTATTTGATGCAGAATAATGTTGAATAAAAGGAGTTGTGAGAGATGGAGAATTATGATGGAGGGAATGTTAGCAAGGAAAGAGGATATGAAATGAAGAGGAGAGGGAGTGTACTCAAACAGAGAGGGTGACGTTGATTTAGAGAAGAGCTTTGTATGGAGTACAAAACCAGAAATAAACAGGAGTATAAAAACATGTCAATTGGAGCATGAAAACATTTATAAACTGGAGTATGAAAACATTTATAAATTGGAGTAAGGAAACATTTATAAATTGGAGTAAGAAAACACTTGTAAATTGGAGCATGAAAACATTTATAAATTGGAGTACGAAAACATTTATAAATTGGAGTAAGAAAACACTTGTAAATTGGAGCATGAAAACATTTATAAATTGGAGCACGAAAACATTTATAAATTGGAGCACGAAAACATTTATAAATTGGAGTAAGGAAACATTTATAAATTGGAGTAAGAAAACACTTGTAAATTGGAGCATGAAAACATTTATAAATTGGAGCACGAAAACATTTATAAATTGGAGTAAGGAAATATTTATAAATTGGAGTAAAGCGACAGGTATTAATGGGAGGAGAGCTTAGATGGGATGGAAAGTAAATTCACGTTGAAAGTATAGGAAACGTAACTGAATGAAAAAAAAAAACAAAATAAAAAAAGGGAGGAAGGACTAGAGTGAGGTTTCCATGATGATTTCTCCTTATTTAGCACTTTTTTAATTTCAGAATAACACTTGTTTTGCTTTGCTCAATCTCCCCTTATGTCTCCTACATCCCTGATCTAGATAATATATGTAATGGTAATCCACCTGCTGTACTCTAGCTCTGCCCTTTGTACTTCCACACATCTTGTCTGTTTGCTGACGTGTCATCTTGGCTGTTACTAACATAACATCTTACTTATCACACTCTGATGTAAAGGCATTTGGTTGTCAGTAATTATTTTTAGGACTATGTTTTACCTCTGCCAGAAAGCAATAGCTGACTGATTACCAGACATGAGTTTAGCAGGAAATATTATCACTGAATACTCTACACTGTATAGTGATTAAGTCAACTCAGATTTCTACGCAAAGTATTATCCAACACCTTTTTACAGACTTTTAGGTGTTGTACAAACCCATATGGTAGTTTACCCCATAGCTATGTAATAGTAAAAATAAAATTAGAAACATAAAAATGTTCTGCATTCACAGATCTAATTTCAAAAGAAACTGTCTTCTTTTTAATTTTTTCTTAATTACTAAATATCCTTCCATGGAGGTACACACTGAATGACACCAATTGCAAGTCATTAGAAATGCAAACATGCTAAAGATCTGTATACTCTGTTATTTTGACAGTTTGCAGGTCTAGAAGTAAAGCCATACTGCTTTTGGGGGAATGTCACACCTTCTGTAAAAGTGGTCAGTTCCTTTAAAAAGAAGGAGCCTGTATAGGGATGGAGGAGTCTTGGCGATTTTTAGATTTTGTCAGTTTGCTGATATCTGCACGTCAGTAACTGGTACTCTCTTTTATAACTAAAAATGTTTGCTGCAATTTGTTTTTATAGAGGAAAAACAAAACAAAAGGTATACATCTATATTTTGTGGTTTCAGGTAACATTTGCCCATTGATCTATCTGTATAAAGAGCACTTGTGTGGCAATGTTTTTAATACGAGGCAATTACCATGGAAACCAAAGAATGTTTTGATGATGGTTTCACTTTTAGAAGCTTGTCTAAACTAATTATTTGTAAACCGAATACATTTTAAGATGTTTAGGTAAAGCCGCTTACATGCCCCTTACTCATGTGGCAGAAGCACTTAAAAATAAACATTGTCATTCACAAACTTTGCGTATGTTCATGGTACAAGAGAATATTATACATTGTAATGATAAAACTGCTGAACTGTGGATTAATACTATATAAACCAATCGATTGCGAGTAGTTGTCTGTGGAACTGCAGACTTTCCAAAAAGATGCTCATGGTCGCAAGTGTACCCACTTACGTTTTATTCTAATGGCCACTTGATACAAAAGTGTACTGATAATTACGCAGGGCATAAAGTACTTTATCATTTGGCTAGCAGAATATATTCTAGATTAATATGCAGCATTGCCAGATAGGACTGTGTATTATTTGCTACATTAAGATAAATGCACCAGTTGTACTTTAACATGTAAAGTGCTATAACAAAACATAATGAGTTGGATGGAAGAGAGAAATGTTCTAGGTAATGCTATTTTAAATGTCTCAGATCTGAGCCAAAATATATGCATCAGAAAGAGGAAAAATGTAAGCTGTTTTCCCAAATAACAATATATAAACGATATTCCACCACACTGCAAATATACCTACCCATACCCCAGTACATGGCATCCATATATACATATAGCACTGACTTTTCCTTTTTCTTTTAGTTTTTTTTACTTAATAGATATGTAAAAAGAATTTGCAGTGTCATTTTTTTTTAGCTTGCTATTCAGTGATAATTGTATGTTTTTTTTTAATTTTATTCTAGGAGCTGGAACAATATAAAAGAAATGCTGATAAATCCTGGAAATCAATGGGGCTTGATTCTAGAATACGATGAGTGTTTGGCCTTTGCGTATATCTTCATAAATTAAAAAAAATACAAAAAACAGTGGAAATTATTTTTCTTCACGGCTATATGAAATGAATGTGGAAAATAGTTATTACTTTTTAAACACTGTTTCAATGGATGCTTTGGTGGATGTGGTATAGATTGCACTTACAAGGGGTTATTGCTAATAATCTGAAAAGGGACATAAGTTATTTAATAAAAGGTAAAATAAATGCTAAAAATGTTTGTCAATTTTTTGTATGTTTTAACAAGCAACACAAAACATACACTTTTCAATAATTAAAGAGACACTCCAAGTTTGCAGTACATTCCAATTCCATGCATTATAGAGGCAATGCATTAAAAAATAAATAAATAAAGATTCTCATATCTAACCTCTACTATTTTGCTGCAAATATGCAGCTTCTCCAAAGACCAGTGAAGGAGCTTAATATTCTCAGTCTATAATGCCCTATTCGTTTTTCAATGGCGCACTGAGCATATCCCATTTACGAGAAAATGTATAAATGTAGCCACTATGAAAGCTATTAGATGCTGTGTGCACTGCTTTAATTAACATGTAGAATAGTCCCATTCATGTTTTTTGCAAAATAGGCTCTCTTATGGAAATGTATGAGAGACCCAGTGCACGTTATTAAAGCATCTCTGTGACATTGCATATGAAAATTATATTTTTAGCTATTGTTGCTTTACAAACTGATAAGCTGGGCTATTAATCTAGCAACTGGCATAATTGTATTTCTTCAAATTATTTAACACCTGTACAGTATATTTGATCTCATTTTGAAAGACCATAATAGAGTACTTAAATTATGCATTTTGAAGGTGAATATTACATTTATGCTTCAATCCCCCACGGAAGAGATTTGAATATCAGAATAACCTCAATGATGGATTCTAGTGTACCTTTTGAAGTGCTTCTCTTATCTCACTCTGAACCAGAATTGGTGCCGTTTATTACAAACCTAGTGGTTTTTGACATTGTTCGACAATGTGCCAAAATGCCAATCATCACATAAACACAGTATTACAATCAGTACTTTAAATCTGCAAGAACCAAACCATGTTTTGCATGTGCCTTAAAATCCGAAAATGAAAAAAAAAAAATCTGTAAACTGAATTCATTTTTTAAACTTTGATTTTAAAGTCATTTTATAAGTCATGTTTAAAAAGTAATCAAAACATCAGTACTACTGTAATTGGTGATCATCTAAATGAGAAAGTTTGCTTTTATAAATATAAAAACATATTTCCTTACTTTTGTTGCAAAATTAAATTTGTTTCTATTGTGGCCTACAGTGTGTTATTTCCTAGTAGTCCATCTCTGACAATTTCCAGTTAACTGAATAACCATAACAATATTTTTTGTATATTTCTGCAAAACATTCTTAAAAAATAGGTTAGGCACGTTGTGTTAAATGCAGCATTGTATGTTTTTTAATTTGATTGATTTTTTTTCTGTGTGTGTAAATAATTCACTGAACCATCTGAAATAGTATAAAGTCCATAATTTTTTTATTTTAAAATCAATTTAACCAGTATTTATAAAAACATAACAGCAATATAAACGTTAGAAAAGTCACAACTGTCAGAACTGCAAATACATTTTTACAGTTTAGAAACCACCGAAAATAATTGTAATTGCTGAGAGAGATTAGACATCCATAAGCTGACCTGCTAGGCTAGAAAATATATCAAGTAAGTAAACCGTAAATCCGTAATGGTGTACTTTGGGGTGATGTGCCAAGTATGCCATGGTCTTAATATGTGACTAAATCCATATTTTTCTTCCAGGGTGTCTTTATACATTTCTAAAGCAAGTTATTAATAATAGTTCATGTATTATTATAAACTTTGTATTCTTAACACTATAGTGCCAGATTCACTGTATAGATGACCAGGCTCCTGCCGCAGGGATTCTTTTAAGTTCATAGTGATTGTCGTTACAGAAACTTAGTGCCCCATGATAAGAGCATAAAGAGAGAATCTTAACATTTCATGTAATTGTATAATCAATCTTCTATGTTTTATCTACACCTTTGTTGATGCCTTACTGATGTTAATGGATGATAGATCTGTAAAGTATCAAATTGGGCCTCTCTGCATCATTCCCTGCAGTTATTGAACATTGTGTAATAGATGCAGGATTCCACATGAAGACCTTGTTTGATCACATCAGAGATAAGTAAAGCTATTTGTACTTAAAATTAAGTATTTGCCTTCTCCATGGGGAGAAACTTATACACGGCTTTGAGTTTTGCAGAGAATTAAAGTGAGATTCACATTTAAAGCAGCACTATCACCCCCCTGACCATTGATTACTTCATAAATATAGGATCTTTATGGAATACTCATTAAAACTGTGTTTGAATTTTACTGAGATTCCAGCCTAGTCAAGAGATATACAGATTACATTGTCTTTGTATTTCTTCTGCCTGACTTTATTAGACTTAGGGCGGAATCTAACTGTCAATCCCCACAGTCATCATCAGTGACAGCTGCAGGAAATTGTCTGTTTCTATGGAGGATCCTGTAATACTTTTGTGCATGCGCAAGAGTACAGCAGTGACATACGCAGAGTAGCAGGCCAAGAAAGATGGTGATGCCCAAAAGGGACAAGTTCAGGTAAGTAAAACTCACCTTACCTGACCCAACCTCTCCCTCCCGGACCCAGCAGTTATCTTTTTGCGATTTCAGCAGAGTCTCCAGACATTGGCTATGCTTCCAATTTGGCTACTTAGGCCTTAATTTTGCCATTCACTTTGGATCTAACTTGGAAATTTTCACGTTAGTGAGTAATCCTGTCTGTCAGAGTGCACTGTGTATGATCAAAACATGAGAAATATGTACCACAAATTGTAGCAAAACTGGTGGCAAAATGATAGTGTATAAATGTTTATTTGACCACCCTTATCAGATGCTCTAGGTTTTCTATATTAATGTGCCATAAAAACTGGTGGACTATAAACTTCCACAAGTGGTGAATGGGTCCAAGAAAGCAATCAGAACTAATTAACAATTTTTGCATTTATCCAATGACAAACCTATATACGGGGTGGGGTTGTTACCGAACAGAAATTGGAGATGTGTTTTTTTCCCTTGTTTTAGCATATCAGGTAGTTTGGGATACTGATGTTAAAGGGACACTAGTGCTACCCCTCCCAAGTGGGTACATTAAGCAGATCCCATAAACTCATACCCATAAAATCATATAATGTTAGATTACCCTATACCCTCTACCTAACATTTATCTATCCTACCCCTTTCTTTCTATTCCTGCTTTTACTTAACACTTGTAGTCGTAAAGCACTAAAGAGGAATTTCACCCATGGAAAAAAAAAAAAATGTTTCAATCATATTGTTTGAGGAATGCAGCTAGTGCTGTCTATGCATGCTCCAAGCTATTCAGAATGCTTTCTTGTTATGAGAATGCCCTTATAAGGTAGTTACAACCTGTACAGTATGGGCATGCCAATTTTGCATGGGTTTGCTACCATTGCTGCAGTTATCATAATTAGAATGAAGGGAGAGAGGGGTAGGTTAGCTCCTTGCACTTAAAAAAACTATTTGGGGAACATAGGTAGATGGAGTCTATGGAGTGTCCCTCTAAATTTACAGTCACAGCATTTGACATTTTTAAAACTATTGGCTTTGAAACATAATGGTGCTCCTTGTAATATGCATCCTGTAACCAACAAATATTTAGACAATCCGTTTTTAAAAGCAGGTCAAAACTTTCTGCTCTTTTGAGATGTAAGTTTTGTAGTGTTGATCATTAAGGAGTGATATATATGCTTCTCCCTGCATAGTTTTGCTTTTATAAGTATAAGACTTTTGTATTGGTCATCCTTCCCTGTAATATATAGTTCATTAATAATTCTAATCTGTTATACCTATGATTCTTTAGCACCTGGGCAGATTAATCATGTTATGACCATACCATCTAGCGTATGGTGCTCTCTTTGTAAATTGTAAATATATATATAACATATTCAATAAAATAATAATAAAATCATTGTAGAACATTAGGTTAAGGCAGGCCTGCACAACCTGCGCCCCCCAGATGTTTTTGAACTACAACCTCCATGATTCATTTAATGAAAAAGATAGACAACACCCATGTTTTTTTAAATGAAACAGATAGCCAGGGGATTGTGGGAGTTGTAGTTCAAAACATCTGGGGGTGTAGGGGTGCAGGCCTAGGTTAAGGGAACATGTGTCTATTTACATGATTGATTTACAAGTATTAGTAAAATGCATTCATTATGAATACAAATATTCCAGATGAAAATTAAAAAAAAAAAAAAACATTATTAGAGGATTCTTCATATTTATGTACAGTGCATGAATAAGTCAATCCGTTTACTGGCTTTCCAGCTGCCGTCTTGTTTTGAGACGGAGCAACTTGTTGATTAAAGCTGCAATAATAATAATAATCTACACCAGGAAAACTGACAGCAGTGCTGGCTCTTCAAATCTAAACATGTGCCTCATTTAATAGGCAATCTATCTGCGAATTAAAATATCACGGATTTTAAAGCTTATGATACAAAGAATTGTCACAGCAGGAATAAAGGCGTACAGCATTAAAAAGTCAAACGTGATTCTGGATGTTGCACCTGGAAATGTCATCTCAATGAAGTCATTGCCATTAGTTAATGCACACTGAGGGTTTAATCCAGATGTTCCATTTGCTTCGCCTGAAAAAAAAAGAAGAAATTCCATTTAAATAGAGGTAATTGAACAGCAATGGGTTATTATAGAAGAACATAAATTAGATAAGACACCAAGTCTGTACTGCCATCATATTATGTCATTAATTGTCATTACAGTCATTACACCTAAAGCCATCAACTTATGCCTTGTCCTCATTCTTTAAGGATTTGTGCATTTCAGCGTATTGCATATGCAGTTGGTTGTACAACAGAAACATCTTTGTTTTTCTGCACAAAAAAAAAATAACAAAGACTGGCCCTGGCCTCCAGAGTCCTACATGATACCATCCCAAGAGACCCGTGGTTGTGGTTACTATCCAAACCGCTGGACGGTACACCACGGGCTCATAACAAACTACTAGCCAAACTAGCATTGGCAACGAGGAGAGCCATAGCCTCCCACTGGGGCTCACCCACAGTCCCGTCATTCACTGACATAAAGAAAAAAATGAACGAAGCCAGGGCAATGGACAGTTTATTTGCTCTCATTCATGACACCACAACGCATTGTAACAAAATATGGGATCTGTGGCTCATGGAACCCACCACTGCCACATAAGACACCAAAAAAAAAAAAAGGGGGCAACCAACCACGACAGAAGCCACGCACAAACACATAACCCATAGGGGCCACGACGCCAGTGTCCAAGACAGGTCCACAGGGACATACGCAACTCCGAAAAACCGTACAACCCACAGATCAGGGACGCCTTCTCAACCCCCCACAACCCCATCGGAAACCCCAAAGTGTGGAACCCCCAATCCACACTCTATCCCGGAACTGAGCTTAATCCACTTTCGCCCCTTAACTTGTAGTTCCGAATCCATGTGCCGCACCAAGGAAACATGATCTTAGGTCCAAACTTGTTAATATTTGTTTTGTTTTGTTTTGACTTGTTTAAATGTCTGGAAAACCGACAGAACAGAATCTTATACGAGAAAATAATGTTGCATTATCAGAAAACTACTCTACTGGTATATACCTCTCTGTATCACAATGTATTGCTACACTGTTTACTTTTTGGCTTTTGCATAAGCCCACACAATACCTTCTGTCCAACATCTGTGTACTTGCCAATTCTGTCAACCGGAAAATAAAGAATTAAAAAAAAAAAAATAACAAAGACAAATTGCTCCCTGGTTCCTGCAACCCAAAAATCTAACTTCCAACAGAAAAATAAAGATCAAGAGAGAAGTGTACAAAGACACCAAAGACTAGGGTTTATTAATTGCTTTTTCTAATGCAATATATCATGGGGCGGCATGTGCAATTCATCTCAAATCAAATTTCAACTGATTTGGAACAAAACAAAAAGTTTTAGGATGAATTGATTTTCATAAGAATACAAATTAAGGACTTATCTATTAGGCAACTGAAGCAAAATTAAGAAAAGAGATTTTTTTTCTTAATGTTGATGTTTCAGTTGTTGAGTAGATATATTTTTTTAAATTCTTTATTTTCATTTTCTGCACATGAAGATGAATCAGAACATATGCAGCATGCCATAATCAGGAGAACAAATGGTTTGGTATATAACAAGGTGAGATGTGTACATGGCATATATAAAAAATTGCACCTTTTTGGGTTGGGCTAGACAGGAGTATGGGTCTGTCCATCTCTATGTGCTTGATAACTCAAATGGGCTATCTACAGTTTAGCAGTGTTTGTGGTAGCATACGTATGTCATACTTAGATTAACACCGTCAGGAGAGGTTTCACTTGGTATTGAGTGGTCTATTTCAAAAGGTATAGGGAGTACTCTTGGGCGTCATTCAGTGCTTCAGGTCGCATCTAGAAATAGGTTAGTTGGTTCAGAAGACTCTGGGTATAGTCATGTGTTAGGCTAGTGTGGTCATGGTCTGTTCTGGTCAAGCTAGATTTCTTGGAGAGCAAGTGCAGTGGCCTGCGCCAAGTAGAGCCTATTGGAAACCCACTTACTGGTAGTGCACCTGGCGCATTACCTGCATGTGCCCATGCTGGCTTTTCCCCAATCCCATAAGGGCTTTCATGTGAAGTCCAGCCTGAGTAGGCTCAGGTAATTTTGTCATTTGGTAGGTAAGGCCTCAATATCATTGAGTTACATGTTAAACAACCTGTGAGGGCACTATACATAAGCATTAAAAACAAAGAAAAACAGAAGAACAGAAACAGTAGTGTGCTTGTGTAGGAGGCATAGGCTTCAGGTCACAAGGACTCCTTCTGCTCCGTTGGTCAAGACTGGCATGCTTGCAATAGTCCCTGGTTGGGTGCGGGGTATTCCCATGGTGTGGTTGAGGAGTCCTAATGTGGCGAGCAAGGTTGGTCCCTCTTCCAGGTCTGAGATCTTGTAGGCTTTGTCATCTTTGGTTACCCATAATGATCTAGGGGTTGCCCACCTGTACATGAGTCCTGCGGTTTGGATGGTGGTGGTGATGGGCTGCATGCTTTTGCGCCATAGTAGTGAGGCCCTGCTTAGATGTTGAAAAAAGGCAATTCGGCACGTTTCAAATTCATAGGGTATTTTTCCCTTGATGGCGGCCATTATAGCCATTTAATCTGTTAACATTTGTGCATATACAATTAATGAGTATATGCACAGGTACATTCTTAGTATTTCATTTATAAGAAAGAATAGACAACAGGAAACAATTACTGAGTTTAGTCACTTTCTTACTGCGGAATGCCGAAGACGGGGATCAAACAAAAATTTGAAATAATTGTTTCATCTTTTATATATTATCAGTATAATGTGTTTACAAATAATGGTGGTAAATCCACCTTATTGGTTTACAGTAGAGGATAACACAATGCTGATTGGAGGAAACTTACCACAGGTAAAGGTTAAATCAGAAAACTCGTTGACTATTAGTAATTCACTAGCATATTTCTGATAGGTAACATAGCTTAACAGTTGAAATACATGAGGCATGTCTTGCAAACTTCTGAAAAACAAAAATAAAACAAGGTTTTAATAATAAAAATAAAAAAACAACAACATGGTTTTAGGATTTGTTCACTGATTTCAGTCATACTTTATAAAGGTATTAGACATGTGCATTTCTGTCTTAAGAATGGCAAAATGACTGACAATTTCAGTTATCGATCATTTAGGCAGAAAAAGAGTACAAAATCGCCGCTGACCAATTATCACAGATCATTTGGCTGTTACAGGCAGACATGCCCCCACTCTTTGCACAGGTCCCCAAGCCCATACTCCCCCCCACTCCAATTGAAGAAAATCTCCTTAATCAGGGTAAATATTATGTTGTAAATAATAAAATTAGTTGCTTATTATTAACTAATATTGGCCTCGAGTTAATATTGATGAATAATATATCCAAATTATTTATTATTTTTTTAAATGCCAATATGTAACAATTATTAAAAGATTACAAAACTAAAATATTTTTCATAATACTAATTTTTTTTTAAAAGTTCATCCAAAATATTAAATCATTTGGAAAGTAAAATAGTAAATCAAGGTCAATATTAGTTAATACAAATAACTGCTGTAATGAAAAACAAAAAAACAACTCATACTTGCCAGCAAATATCTTCTTTCTTCTGAGTCTTCTTTTCTTTAGCCCACCCCCAAAATAAAATCTATAATAATGCAATGCAACTATTGGAAGCTTAAAAAGAGCCAATTTGCAAAAAGAGGCCAAAAAATTAAAATAAAATAAAAAATGCAATGCAATAAAAAAATTCCATGCAATGCAATATCAGTCAGAGCACTCTGATTGGTTGACTTGTAGCCCAACCAATCAGAGCTCTTTGACTGAAGCTGCACAATGAAAGAAAGCCCTACTAAGGGGTTTTCCTACTTTGTAAGCTCAAATTGAATATTTTTTATTGAATTGTTCTTTTGATTTTTTTTCATCTTTTCTATTTTGTTACTTGTTTTTTTTTTTTGTTTTTTTTTTTCAATAGTTGTGTCACATTATTATGGATTTTATTTTTAGCCTTTTTGGGGTCTGAATTAGAAAACATTTAGATGGCAACTGTGATGAAGTACACTTTGCCACTTGTTCCTGGAGAGGCCTGTTTTCCAGCCTCCTGCCCTGCGACTATGGCCCCAGGGAGATTGTACCCGTTTAAACCAGCATTTGGGCTTATGGACTTTTATTGTACGGTGCCGACCCTTTAAAAACAGTGTATGGACATATTGAAACTTTTTGGACACTTTTTCTTCCCCTTTGAATCCCTTAGAAGGTGTGGCTCTTCCCCTCCCCCAGCTCCATTGTTCTCCAGCAGGGCGTTGTCCCAGGGACACTGCCAGACCAGTGGGAACTGGTTTGGGCAGGAAAAGCCATGCTTGCAAGTGATAACAAAGGACTTCGACCTAACTTTTAAACCCCTGAACCTATTCAAGTGAATTTTGGATATGTTTGTCCCCAAGTTATACTGGTTAAAATAATATATTTGTATGTGCGATGTAAACTCTCAAAGTTATAAAGATGTATAAAAAGTGTAACTTTTCAGCTTGGAGATAATTGAGTAGATACAGTAATTGACTCAATTATCTCCTAAGCAGAGGGGAGGAATATGATGGGTGTGTTTCTATTGTCCCATTGTGTCTGGTTGGCTGCTGTACTTGCATTGTATGTGTTTATTGGTTGTTCTGAAAAACCCTGTGGGTGGTACTATGTGTGGAAAACCTGCATAAAAAAAGGCCCTTTGGTGCCAAGTAAAACAGTTCTTCTTCACCCTCAATCTAGAGTCCTCTCTCTTATTGGGGGTAACCAGCTAAACAGCTAATCACACTAGCTCTTTTAAGAGCTCTCTCACCTGGACGACTACTGGATGCTGAGAATACCCCCTCACCCATCGGGAGAAGGACACCCTCCAGCGGTTGGAACCCCTCTGCTCTCCGGGGTAACCGCTTTTAGGCCTCCTCACTATTATTAATGTGAAGAGGGGTAATTAGGATAATTTTATTTTAAAGGGGGGTTGCTAGGTGCTCTGGAGCAATTCCTCCCCCACCCACTGCCCATGGGTTTAGGCTGGGGACACTAGGTACACTTATGTATTATAATTAGAGCTTCCACCCACCACCAGTGGGTAGATACTGGGGGAACTAGCACCCCTTTTATAATAATTAGAGTCCCCATCCACTGCCTATGGATGAGGTCTAGGGGGCACTAGGTCCACCCCAACTTGTAATTATAATTAGAGCTCCACCCCAAGCTATAATTTTTTTTACTTTTATTTCAAGTGTCTTTTAAATGTGTATTTAACAATTGACATCACAATCCAGTTCAGTACATGCAAAGCCAGGACACACATTGCTTTGGATGTTGACTGTGGGTGGAAAAACTGTGAAAAGCTGTGTTTTTAAAGACACAAAATGACACAATCAGTGGGAGCCAAGATGGAGGCACTCAGTTTCAGGACAGTGGTGTGGATTTCTACTTTTTTTTTTGTGAATATGATTTTTATTCATTTTGCATATATTAATGTTCGATGAGACGCGCAGGTCTCCATTGTATGTTATTATAAAAGGTAACAAGTTAGGGTTGCAGGCCCCATCGTAGAAGGACTCGCAAGTCCCCATTTTCTGGTATTTACATTTGTTTGGGAATATAAGTTAAGTAACGTTTTCATAAACTGGGTGAACATTATGCCATGTAACCGTCCTTGAACCGGATTAATCAGTCCTTGATTAGGTGTCAGTGTTTGTAGGCTTCCCCTATGGTCTCTGTCAACGGGCGTCTCACAGGGCCCTGTGTCCTTAGCCATGTGGCATTGTCCGTGGTGGGCTTGTGTTTTCCCCCGTTATTACTAGCAGTATTTCCCGTGTTTAACCAGGGGTATGGTGATATTGCAGGTAGGGGGTACTCTTATATTGGGTGTGTGGATACTGCATTAGCCGTGTCATTGCCGGGCCTGTCCAGGATTATCACAGGTGTTCGCGTGTTTTGGCTTTGGGGTGACGTCCCGGACTGGTCTGGAAGTGTGTACCAGCTCGTGTTTGTTAGTCGTTCCTGATTATGGTTTCCCTTATTGCTATGGGTGCGGTGGGGATGATTCAGTCAATGATGATGCTCGGGTATTTTGAAGGGGGGGGGAATGCGTTGGGGTGGGAAGAAAAGAAAAAGGGGGTGTAGTTCCGTTCAGTTCGTCTGTCGGCCGTCTAGCGTCGTCTGGGGTGTGTGTTCTAAATGCTATCTGTCTGTGTCGTGGTGTCCGTTAGTGTTAGGTCTGAGTTCTAATTGGAACTCTTCTTTTGCCGTCTCTAGAATCCAGTGCGTCCAGATGCTCATGTAGGTAGTGGGTGTAGTGTTGGCCGTCATGGTCAGTTCCTCTATCGACCTTAGTTCTTCCATTTGGCTAAACCAGGTCGAAAGTGGGGGTGTAACTGTTTGTTTCCAGAATTGGGGGAGCACTTGTTTGGCCACGTTAAGTATTCTAATAGTCATGGATTTTTTGTATTTGGAGCGGGGAACTGTTGTGTGGTGTAGGAGCATCGCTGCCGGTTCCGGGGGGGGGGCGCATCCGCGAACTTCTCTAGCATTTTGTGTATCCTCTTCCAGTATGGTTGGATCAACGCGCAATCCCACCAGATGTGTTTCGTGGTGCCTACCTCTCGTTCACATCTCCAGCAGAGTCTGGCGTGGTCTGGGTTTATGTGGTGAAGGAGATGTGGTGTCCGATACCAATGTGTTAGAAGCTTGTAGGCCGTTTCCTGTGTTTTGCTGTGAGTGGAACAGTGGTGTGTAAGGTAGCAGAAGGTTTCCCATTCTGCTTCTGTTAGCGTGTTACCCAGGGCTGTCTCCCATTTTCCCATTTCCCATTTATCATTTCTTTTCTGAGTGTGTTAAAGAAGGGGCCCGGTATCACAATGGGGATGGCCTGGAAGAGGTATAAGAGGCGCGGAAGAAAGTTCATTTTTATGACCTGCACTCTCCCGAGCCACGATATGTGCGGGTAGGACCATTCCCTCAAGTCTCGTTGGAACGTGTGCAGTATAGTGGCGAAGTTGTCCCTATACAGGTCTCTGGTCTGCCTGGTCAGCCATATACCTAAGTACCTAATTTTATGTTCAGCCCATTGGAAGGGGAAACTATGTCGTAGAGGGTCTGCGCGTGTGGCGGGGACGCTAACATTAAGGATGTAGGATTTGCCGTAATTAATTTTAAGGTTAGATATATTGCCAAATGTCCGCAGGTCTTTCTGGATGTTAGGAAGGGTGATCTCGGGGTTGGTCACCACAAAAAGTAGGTCATCCGCGTACGCCGCTACCTTGTGGTGTACTTGGCCTGACGTCCGGCCCGTTATGTCTGGGTTGTGGCGAATGTGTGTGAGGAATGGTTCCAGGGCGAGAGCAAACAGAAGCGGGGAGAGGGGGCACCCCTGTCGCGTGCCGTTGTGTATGGTAAAGGTCTCAGTCAGCGCCCCGTTAACTATCACCTGGGCCGTCGGTGCTCGGTATAGCGGGATTTCTACTTTTTAATTTTTATTTTCAGTCTTCACAAACACATATTTGTTAAATGTAGGGAGTATCGTAATATAATTGTAAAGATGGTTCCCTTTTAAAAATAGAATATGAATTTTACTCAGGGATTTTCCTTCCTTTTAACAAAATGGGTTTCATTTAGGGCAAACAAATTAAATTACCTTAAAATTCCAGATCCCACAAGGATCCCTGCAATGTTGACCAAGGTCACTGCTGCGTTCACTATGTTTGGATTATTTATTACACCTAGAAATGCGAGAGTAAGCAGTTCTCCCATCAGGTGGGGAACCAGATTCACAAAAAAGAAACATCCAAACCGTGCTGCTTCATCATGCAATCCTATGATCCTGGAATGAAGAAAGAAGTGAAAAAAGCAAAATATATATTAAAGGGGCACTATAGTCACCAAAACAACTTTAGCTCAATTAAGCAGTTTTGGTGTATAGATCATGCCCCTGCAGTGTCACTGCTCAATCCTCTGCCATTTAGGAGTTAAATCACAGTATTTATGCAGCCCTGGCCACACCTCCCTGCATGTGACTTACACAGCCTTCCTAAGCACATCCTGTAAAGATAGATCTAATGTTACACTTCCTTTATTGCACAGTCTGTTTAATTTTAGAGTGTGTGATTATAGTTCAATTTACAAAGCAGGTGATAGATCTGTTTGAAAATGAAACCATTTTGTTCTCATGCAGGCTGTATCAGTCACAACAAAAGGAGGTGTCTGTGGCTGCATAATCAGAAACAAATGTGATTTAACTCTTACATAGCAGAGAACTCAGCAGTGAAACTCCACGGGCATAATCTATACACCAAATATGCTTCATTAAGCTAAAGTTGTTTTGATGCCTATCGTATCCCTTTTAGTAAATTGCTAAATCACAGTTAACGATTTAACTTACCAGTAAATGAAAACACTAAATATTGCTACACTAAGGATGCTGAATGGTAGGATATGCATGACGTAGGCTAGGAGCATTTGCCATTTTTCATACAAGCCGTCTTTGCCTTCTTGGTCACCAATGGCACGAAGAGCTGGGACTGGAGGACAGAAGACAAGGAAGAGTGACGTCACTAAGATTATATTACTGTAATGTGACTTGAAACTTTTCCTTGAAATTTCTAAGCATGTCATGCTGTTCATCTTAGTACCATCAGCGAGTTTTTAAAAAATGGTATGACTGGAAGATTATCACAGAAGTGACAGCAGTTCATTAACAGGTCAAGATCTTAACCTTAAAGAAGAGACTTAAAGAAATTAGATTTTGGGGTAGATTTATCAACAGAAATGTTATGTTCTAAAACGTGGTCCAAAGTACTAAAAGTGGGGTAATCACAATGGAAACCAGTGGAACGGCAGAGGCATTCCATTGGTGATTCCTCCCCTTTCTGTAAATAATTAAAGAAAGGCCTTGATGTTTTTTGGAAAAACAGAATATTTAAGAATATAATATTAACTATTAAGCATGCACCAGTTAGAAGCAGGAGTATATTGTACGCCAGTATATCTCCTATACTAGTTAGATAACTCTCTTGCTTTAGGGGAACCTCAGCTCTCAAGAAGTCATTACTGTTATCTGCTGACAAAACTTCACGAGAGCTTTAGTTCTGACTCTTGCCTCATGGGAAGTTTTATTCCTGGCAAGCTACCTGCCCTAGAACAGGGACAGTCAAATATAGATCATGTGAGTTGACTAATTATACCTCCACTGAGGCTTTGCCAGGCTTTAAGGAACACTATAGCATTAGGAATACAAATCTGCACCCCCTTTCTCCCCTATTAGGCAGTGAAAGGGTTAAACCCTTCTTTATTTACCTTGTTTCCAGCAACGAGGCTAACTCACTGCTGCTTACCAATCCTCCCCAGCCACCGTCATGAAGGAGGCAAGGCCAACTCTGATGGGTCAAATCCTATGCTCCTCATAGAGGTGCATTGGGAACCTAATGAACATGCACATCAAGTGCAGCAATCTTATTAAAACGTTGTTATGGAACAGCATTGAAAAAAATGCTTTCGAATCACGTGACCATGTTTTACTCCGTCTGTGCTTGGAAGCCCTTTAAGTAGCTGTCAGTATGACAGTCGCTAGAGGAAGAGTTAACCTTACAATGCAATATTACATCAATGTTATACATTGCTGGTTTAAGGGGAGGGGGACACTGCACCCAGGCCACATCAATGAAATGAAGTGGTCTGTATGACTCTAGTGTTCCTTTGAGGCTTGGAAAGCATCAATAAATGTTGCAGGTCAACTGTCTTTGTCAATCCCTGTCCTGAGGTGTCTCCTTTAACGAGGGATCATCATTGCAGGTCAGTATTATGACCATTGGTGTCCAGTAAGAATTTTTATTTAGAGTTTTTTAATACAGACATGAAAAGTAAATTCTGGACCTGGGGGATCTAAAAATATAAGGAAAAAATGTGGAAGCACAATACAGCAACCTTATTTATTACTGGAATTTTTAAATTGCCAACATATTACAATTAGGGGAGAATGTACAATATTCTCAGACCAATACAAACGGTAGAGAGGTCCCTGCCTGTGAGCTGTGATCTGAGACCTGAATCTGATTTATAGAAAGTGCTTAGTTAGATAACCCGTGAGCTTATAACCAAAGGAATTCATGACAGTTGCTGTTTAATGCTTCCACACTTTTACCATCGTGGATCATTTTGTCCTCGGTGGAGTGGGACGGACCTTCCATGGAGAGCTCTTTCGGCATGGAGTAAGTAAGCACTCAGTCCGTATCTGGTCAGTATAAATATAGCTTTTAGAGCACCTGAACAAATTTCAGTTTTGTTACTTGCATATAAAAATATAGGTGCGGCAATTAAATTGTTCAGTAAGAATAATAAAAAAAGTTTAAAAAATTAAAAATAGTAAGGCTCCAACCTTCTTAGTAGGACAAGAATGAACTAGTAACTTATTGGGAGCCAGTGACAAATGTGTTTTAAAGAGAAATTACTAGCGAATTGAAGAAATAAAGTTAAAAAGGACTTACACAATGCAACTGCGTTAAGCAATCCTGTGTAGGCAGGAGCTCCAAGACACTGGTATATGAAACCGAGTCGATCTTGTACTGCACCTTTAAGTACATCATTATTCAGGTGGATAAGGAAAAATGCAATAAATAGGGAGAATATAAGGTTTTGGGAAAGGCGCATGATTATACCAATCTTGTTTCGGGATAAATTTCTGAACGTTCTCCTGAAAATAAAAATATTTTATTTTAACAAAAATGAAAAAACAAAAACATATATTTCATTGCAACAAAATAGATTAAACAAATTCATTCATTTCTATTTTTACTCTTCAAGGAATAATAGAAATCCATGCCATCATTATCATCCATCAACATCCTCTGGTCCTGTCCACAGCCTGTCCTACTTAATTGCCACAAGCAGCTTTAGAGAGCCTACAGCTATATGACTAGGCCTTTCAATCAATTTCTCATTTATTTTCCCTATTCATATTTCTGTCCCTCTTCCATAGATTTTCAACGTTACTATTACTGCTTTCCACATTATTTCTCTCTTCATTAAATGCAATTCTATTTCCAATCACCATTCTGATTGTCACCCTTTTGGGTTAAACAACCCCTAGTGTGGATTATGAGTATAAGCTGTCTCTGCGTGCCTTGGCTGTTATCAGTGTTTGCTTGAAGTCACACCTGGATGAGTCAGACTCACGGGATATGATGTTTTATTACACCCATCACCAATTTGGTTCAACACTGTTCTCATGACTGCAATGTGGGAGTAAAAGGTAATATAGAGACCACTATGCTTCGCTTATCAAAGTCAAGCCCTATCAGGATTTCGTCAACTCGTACAAACATTGGTATATTACCCCATACCATCACACCCCTAAGTACAATGTGGTGCATCACAAGTTTAGAACCAGTGCATTAAAATGCTATGTTCTTGCACTCACACAGACATTTATATACATCTCTATTTACATTAATTTACACTTGTACTTTGCATGGGTTTTACTCTTTCACAGTACATTATCACATGCCTGCCCTGTCTGAAATTATTAAAGTACAGCGCTTTTTCTTCAAATGGAAGAATGGAGGTATTTAAATAACCTGCATGTGTCTGGGCATTTATAATAAGTGGTATTCCTAGTTGCCAGTCATGGCTCCCTGTTGCAGTAGTCCATGAATACCAAAAGAATAGACTCCTGTCATAAAAGTAATAGACAGTCTGCTAAAACCTTGGTGCTTGGAGTGTTTTTATAAAAATAATGCAATATCATCCATAATTCTATGAAGTTCGAATTTAATTGATTTTAAACATATGGAGAGACTGCAATGTAGCCACAGACAATGGATTAGCTAGTGATGCCAGTAAATACAAGGGGTTCTGTGTTTTGTTTTAGCACAGATTAGGTTTGAGTTGTTTTTGTAGAACAATAAAGGCTCTGATTCAGAGGTCACAACGTTGACCAGTGAACCAGTGCCCAGAGAGCCCTAAAATGACTCTCCCTAAATGGGGAATAACCCACGAAAATAACAGTGCAAGAAATGTGACTAGAAAAGTCCTGATCAGGAGAGTAATGGAGGGAAGGGGTCCCTACCTTTAATAATCCTAAGGGAAAGCAAAATTAAAATTGGACAGGAAAAATAATAATAAGGGAAAAAGAAAGGGGGTGGAAAGAGGAATGTGTAGTGATAGACCATCCAAAGGCAGACGCAGAGATCAATTGCCAGCTTGAAAAAGAACTGCCTGACAAGTACTCTAACTGCAGGTCTAGGCTACATACACTCTAAGCCTCATAGGTGGAACACCCAGGTAGATGGAGGTAAGGTAACACCAAAGTAGGCTGGAAGAGGTTGAAAATGCCTCTATAGGGATAAATAAACACCCAAAAGATATATGCTGTAAATAGTCAACTGTCTCTGATTACCTCGGCACTGTGGAAAGCCACTAGTGCCTACCCGAACCTTATTCCCTACCTGTCCTAGTAGCTAAAAAGATCAATTAAACCAATCCATAAGTGCAACCAAAAGTGAATTAAATAAATGGATAAAGTAAGCTCGACACGCGTTTCGGTGTTTCAGCACGCGGTCGTCAGAAAAAATAAACTTTTGAGGTTCCCTGTATCGATTGAGTTGTTTTTGCATATATTTTGTAATTGGTTTTGTAAGATAAATCACAAGCAAATGTCTAAATTACAGTTGATATGTGAAATATGCTTATTCCTCTGTGCTGCAGACTATGCATGCAGGACCCATGTTTTAATTCCACAATTTCTAGTGTGTGACCTTGTTGTGGGAGGGCCATAGATGTGTGTGCACTCTGTTGCCATCGTAGTCTACAAATAAAATGGAAGCTAAACTGCATATATATTTACTGTAACACATTTTTTTATTCTAACATTTTCCCACCTTAAGAGCACCCAGAGCTTGGAGAATTCGTTAGGTGACTCTTTCCGTTTAAACGGGATGACTTGCCGCTCTTTACTGGTTCTCGATGTTCTTATAAAGTCCAGTGTATTTTGAAAATTGTCTGAGTTTTTGTAGGCATCCATAATGGACTGGGATCGGCTATAAGTCTCCAGCTCACGTTCCTTAGTTCGTGTGTCCACAGATGTGAGATCCACTGCAAAACAACTGCGACCAATAAATGTCTACATGTCTCGATCTTAACGAATCAGAAAGAGGTAGTAAAGTCAACTAAGCTAAGGACAATCGATAAGCAGCATTGCATTGATTAGTGCAGAGCCCTCATTTCTATACATTAAACACTGACAGCCGACTTGCCCCAAAAAATCCACTGCTCACGTGAATTAGAGACTGTTTTTTCCAACTGAACAAAGAAATGATACAGATATAACTATAATGGAGGAACAGAGAAATGGCCGCTGTCACAGGGTGAATGTCATGGGGTGGAATATTAAATATCTCTGTAGCTAACTGGAACTACATGTTTGACTGATAAGGTCTTTTAAACTAGTCCGCCATGGCTCATCTTGCATCTAAAGGGTTAACCTTGTAAAACATATCTATTTTTTTCATTAATGAATTGCACTCCTGATATGTCACTTATCATTGTAATTCTTCAACGTGATATTCTTGTGACCTAATTAACACATGCAAAGTACAATGTCAATGCTGATAACATAAATACTATCAGGGCTAAGCTTCCAGGTAGCCATGCACTGAATTACTTTGAAACAAGATCTTCATCTTAGCCTTAGAATAGGAAGTTCAGGGAAGTTCTTACCGTAGAAATCGAATGGGTTTGAGTGTTCAGGGCATTCATAACCGCAATCATTGAAAAATGAAATCATCTCATCTGGCTGTCCGCAGAATATAAGCTCTCCACAACTCATTATTGCGATTTTATTGAAAACCTAATTATCACAGTAGATATAAGATATTTTATTTTAAATATAATGAAAATATATTTAGCAAAATAAACAGATATCTAGTTTAGCACTGTACAGCAGCTGCAGTGGAGCTTGCTATATCTACTGTGTTTCCTGGACATATTTTGTGTCTACATGGTGATGGGCACATCATTTCTACCCTGGCGTATGTAACATTCATATGTTTCAGGAAATAAATCAATTCTTGCAGGAATATCATCAGAACTTCCTTGTTTAGGTAGTTGATTTCACTGTGCAGTATATAATGTAAGGCCACCATTAGGAAAGGGCAAATGGACATTCAGCAGCCTGAATGTGAGTGTTTTGTTTTTGTATCACTTTTGCAAAATACTACGATCTTAGCAGGTCTGCAAACCATGGACTACCAAGGAATAGATAGGAAATGGAGGAGGACCTATGATTTGGCAAGAGGTTAAGGGGCCCCTTCATTTTTTTATTTGTCCATAACTTTGCATGTTTTGCCAATTAGAATAAATAGGCCATACGAGTCCAGAAAAACATGATGAATTTAGTAACCTGAACTCCATCCTAGGCCTAAGTCATCAGTAGCTTATTTGAGTTCTAATCACAACTCGCTTTCAACTCAAAAAGTTCTATCATTTACTCGGAGCTGCTGTCCCTTCACCACCACCCATCATGCAATACAACATACTTGGTATTATTTTGAAACAAAGTATAATTTGCTTTTTGATTTGTCAGGGAACATATTCACATCATGTACAGTTATAACCATTCACTTTTTGGACAAGCACATACATTTTCATATCATCATTTCTGTCCTAAACAAATTTCCTCCTTCCTATCACTTTTTTGCTTTTGATCCCACTGACGGTTTTGTTGCTATTGTGTAAGTGACCTGTTATTGCAAAGAAACACTTAGCACCATAACCACTATAGCCAGATGTTGTCTTGCAGACTACAGGTGTCATTCATGGCACTGTGTTAAACCATTTTTATGAGTTGTAACACAAACCAAGGGTCCCTTGGGTTCGAATGACGTTCCAGAGCAATCTCATTGGACTTTTGGACTAAGAGCCATATGCGGAAGAAAAATAAGAGATAACATATTGGTACCTGAGCGAGATGGCATGAATGACAAGTATTCTCTAGAATGTGACTTACTCTGAATAACTCGGAGCGTGGCTGGTGAATTGATATGATCACTATTCTTCCTTTGCGAGCCAATTCGGAGAGCAATAGAACAATGTGACTTGCCGTCATTGAATCTAGACCGGTGGTTGGTTCATCAAGCAGTATAATCTCTGCAAAAATGGTTTAAGAACATACTTAGAAAATGCTAAATTAAAGGCATGAGCCTGATAAGAAAGAACGTATCATTCCATATTTGTGTTATGTAGAAAACCTACGAATATTGATAGAACATTCCATTATTATCTTTATTGGTTCTTGCTAAGTGGAAAATTTAGAAAAAAACTGTTTTAGGAAAAAAAAACTTTGTGTTATTATACCAATTGGATATATGTATTCACTAATGATCTTTACTCCATAATTTTATTGTTTTAATTTATTGTGTAATTAAAGATGCAGAATATCACAATTTAATATGATACTAGACAAATGATGGCAAGATTGGTTATGAAATCCTCTAACCCGGCAGAATTATACAGCTTCTCTAATAAACATGCATCATTCAATATACAAGACTGAGTAACACTGTACAAAGCATTATCACACCCTGGGGTTATTTGCTAGCACAGCATTTATATTAAAGGAACACTTCAGGCACCAAAACCACTACAGGGTGCAGCGGGTGTGACTAGCGCTGGATGAATCCCAGGTAAGTGGTCAAACCATATTGCAAACATTTTGACTACTTACCTTGCGAGGGAATCTGCATACACCTGACAGCACAACTACTACAGCCCACTCTTGTGGTTATGGTAGTGGAGTGCTCCTTTAATTCTTACCTCTTAAAATCTAAGAATAATTAATATGTATACTGTATCTGTATACTGTATTTGTCATGTAAACTCAGTGCCGACCTCACCTACATACTCAAGCAGCATTGAAGTCAATGGACATTTAGCTCCGAGGAATCTTTGAGTAGCTGAATTGGGGCTGAGTTTGATTATAGAAACTACTTTTCAATAAAAGTAAGAGAGACACACATTTAGAAAACTTAGATACCTGGGAGAAAATGTTTAAGGAAAACTATAGGCATCAAAACAACTTAGCAGCTTAGCTTAATGAAGCAGTTTTAGGGTACATGTCCCTGCATTGTCACTGCTCAATTCTCTGCCATTTAGGCTTTAAACCACTTTTGTTTCTGTTTATATAGCCCAAGCCATACCTCCCATGGCTGTGATTGACACAGCCTGCATGAAAAAAAGGTTTAATTTTCAATCAGATGCTAATTTGCTTTAGAAGTGTTTATCTCCTGCTCTTTAAATTGAACTATAATCACACACGAGAGTCTCCTGCAGGGTCTTGAATGCTATTAATAGAGCAGGGGATAAGAGATTCTAAATTAAACAGATTGTGCAATAAAGGAAGTTTAAACATTACATCTCACTTTCCATGAAGTTTCTAGGAAGGCTGTACAAGTCACATGCAGGGAGGTGGGATTAGGGCTACATAAGAAAAAGTGGTTTAACTCCTAGATCAGGGGTGTCAAACATGCGGCCCCCCAGATGTTGCTGAACTACAACTCCCATGATTCCCTGGCTATCTGTTTCATTGAAAGAATCATGGGAGTTGTAGTTCAGCAACATCTGGGGGGCCGCATGTTTGACACCCCTGTCCTAGATGGAAGAGAACTGAGCAGTGAGACTGCATGGAAATGATCTATACACCACAACTGCTTCATTAAGCTAAAGTTGTTTTAGTGCCTATAGTGTCCCTTTAAATAGCAAAGGCCATTGTAAGAAGGTATTACCAGCCGTTCAGCCTTCTAGACAAGGAAGAAAGGAAACAACCATTTGTGAATTAATGGAACTCAACCTATGATCTCACTGTGGGCAAATCAGTTTGCAGAGCAGAAAGGGGTGTCTATTAGCAAAACAAAAAAAAAGAAACCCGTCTGACTTTAAAATAAACATATTACTTTTTTAACATTAAATGGGTTATTTAAGGGGTTAAATAGATACTATTTTTTCCACAATTACTATACAGTATTTTGTATTCTAAGAAGGATAACTTACTGGGATCTTGGATAAGCTGAGCTGCAATTGATACACGGCGCCTTTCGCCACTTGAGATTCCGTTAAAAATACGTCCGCCGATTACAGTGTTGGCAACAGAAGTTAGACTTAATTCCGCCATGACTGAGTCTACCTGAAACACAAAGAGGACACGCCATATTATAAAACATATCTATTTTCATTTATCTATATAAATGATCTCTGTGCTAATATGCCGTATGCTGCTGTTCAGAGTGACCTTTGGTCTTTGTTATTACAGTAACCAATGTCTGTACATTATAAAGATAAGTAAAAAAAAAAAAGTTAATAGATTCTGTTTAAATGTTTACTGACTATAAATGTAATTAATGAATGTTAATATATTTAGCTCTATGTTTATTACTACATTGTAGCATATATTGATCAAGCCGTCAATAAATTGCAGTGTAGTTTAAGGACTCTATGGAAATGTTATGGCCTTGGAGTATGTTATTAATACTTTATGCTAAAACAGTAACTTCATGTCAAAACTCTGAGATTAAAGGACCACTATAGGCACCCAGACCACTTCAGCTTAATGAAGTGGTCTGGGTGCCAGGTCCAGCTAGGATTAACCCTTTTTTCTCTAAACATAGCAGTTTCAGAGAAACTGCTATGTTTACCTATGGGTTAATCCAGCCTCTAGTGGCTGTCTCATTGACAGCCGCTAGAGGGCTTTCGCGCTTCTCACTGTGATTTTCACAGTGAGAAGACGCCAGTGTCCATAGGAAAGCATTGATAATTGCTGCGCATGCGCATTCAGCCGGTGACGGGAGGAGAGGAGGAGGAGAGCTCCCCGCCCGGCGCTGGAGAAAGAGGTAAGTTTAATCCCTTCCACGCCCTAGAGCCCAGCGGGAGGGGGACCCTGAGGGTGGGGGCACCCTCAGGGCACTATAGTGCCAGGAAAACGAGTATGTTTTCCTGGCACTATAGTGGTCCTTTAACAATTCCATGAAAGATTGCATTTCCACTTGTAATCCAGGGGTATGCGGCTACATACACAAAAAACGGACAGAAATGTAATGTAAAATCTATTCTTATATGTGTTTGAGTTAAAACATATTGATTAAAATCACCATAACCACCGCCACTTGTTGAAGTGCAAGGTGCAGGGACTCCTTTGGGGCTTACATATGAGGAAGTTTCATTTTTTTCTTTAAATTTCAAAAATATTTGTATGAGTATGCAACATTCCACTGGACAAAATCACTTTTAAAAAAAACAGCCTTTATCACTGTCAGGGCAAGGTTTTCCCGTAGGAAGATGCCAACAGGGGTAAAAATGTGCAATTTTTTCCTGTTTAGAGACATTTTCATATACTCTTTCATTTTGATACATGGTCACTGGATGTTTTTCACATTTGTTCTACACATCCTAAGGCAAGCATCAGAAAACTTTTTTTTTTTCATTTTGTGGGGGGATAGTTACATGAAAACCCGGTGCCTACAAGAAACATTAGTGGTCATTGTGCTTAGATTGCCCCTTTACTCTCAATCTTGTATTTATCACAATATGAGCTAAATTATAATATGTATGAGATGTCTGCTTAATTAGTCAGCTTCCGCTTGAGTATGATGTGTGTTTGAGGAGCTACCCAGAGGTTTTAATCTACAGATGTGGTGTTCCTGTGCATACATTTTAATACAGATCTGAATAAAAGGTAAGTATTGCAAAAAGGCAATTAAAGTTGCTAAACTAGAAAATGAGAAATTAATAGCTGAAGAAAGCAAACCCAACCCCCCAAATGTTTTCAAGTACATCGATTCTCAAAAAACTAAAAATGAAAATGTATGTACACTGGAAACAGAGATGGGTTTGTTAGCTAATGAAGACCAGGAAAAAGCAGAAATTTTAAATAACAATTTTTCTTCAGTATATATTAATGAAGATCCTATGTCAAGAGATATGCAAATGATTGCTGCAAAAAACTTGTGATTGGATAACTTGAGACAAGGTGCTACAGCTATTAAAGAAAATTAATGTAAATAAAGCTCCGGGGCTTGATGGCATTCACCCACGAGTACTGAAGGAGCTAGGTGGGAAAATAAGTGAACCTCTGTATATAATTTTTTCAAGATTCTTTTGTTTCAGGTATTGTACCGGAGGATTGGATGAAGGCAAAATCCTTGCCTGGAAATTATAGACCTTTGAGCTTAACTTCTGTGACGGGGAAAATATTTGAAGGTCTATTAAGGGATAATATTCAGGAATTCATTGGGAAGAACTTTGTTATTAGCAATAATCAGCATGGTTTTATGAAACATAGGTCATGTCAAACTAACCTAATTGCATTCTACGAAGAAGTAAGTAGAAGTATAGATCAGGGTGTTGCAGTGGATGTGATCTACTTTGATTTTGTCAAGGCATTTGATACGGTTCCTCACAATAGGTTAGTCTTCAAACTAAAGAAATTGGTCTTGATGAATATTCTTGTTGTTGGGTAGAACATTGGCTTAAGGATAGAGTACAACGAGTTGTCATTAATGGTACATTTTCAGGCTGGACAAAAGTGGTAAGTGGTGTCCCTCAGGGTTCTGTTTTGGGACAGCTTTTATTTAACATATTTATAAATGATCTTGAAATAGGCATGGAAAGCCATGTATCAGTGTTTGCAGATGACACAAAACTTTGTAAAGTAATAAAATGTGAGCAGGATATTGCTTTGCTGCAGAGGAATTTGGATAGATTGGGGGACTGGGCACTAAAAGGGCAGATGAAATTTAACATAGAGAAATGCAAAGTTATGCACTTCGGGGTTAAGAATGCACAAGCAATTTACACCCTAAATGGTAGTGAATTAGGGATAACCACATACGAGAAGGATTTGGGAATTGTTATAGAAAACAAATGAAACAGCAATATGCAATGTCAATCTGCAGTTGCTAAGGCCAGTAAGGTTTTGTCATGTATAAATAGGTGCATAAATTCTCGGGATGAAAATATAATTTTGCCTCTTTATAAATCGCTAAGACCACTCCTTGAATATGCTGTGTAATTTTGGGCACCTGTTCTAAAGAAAGATATCATGGCACTAGAAGAAGTGCAGAGACGAGCTACAAAATTGATAAAAGGAATGGAGCATTTTAGTTACGAAGAAAGGTTACAAAATTTAAATCTGTTTAGTTTGGAAAAACAGCGCCTGAGAGGGGATATGATAACATTATACAAATATACTCAGGGCCAGTACAAACCTTTATCTGGAAATCTATTCATAAACATGGCTATACATAGGACACGAGGTTACACATTTAGGCTGGAAGAAAGGAGATTTCATCTAAGGCAATGAAAAGGTATTTTTACAGTAAGGGCAATAAGGATATGGAATTCTCTGCCTGTATAGGTGGTTTTGTCAGAGTCCATACAGAGGTTTAAACTGCAATTGGATAAATACTTACAAAAACATAACATACAGGGATATAATTTCTAATTAGTGGGGTAGTAGCTGCTTGATCCAAGGAAACATCTGACTGCTATTTTGGGGTCAAAAAGGATTTTTTTTCCTAGTTTGTTGCAAAATTGGAAGCGCTTCAGACTGGGTTTTTGCCTTCTTTTGGATCAACAGCAAAAACATATGTGAGGAAGGCGGCACATGATGGACGCAAGTCTCTTTTCAGCTATGTAACTATGTATCTATGTAATTAATGGTTTCTATGAGGTTCTGTTGGCCAATTTATGCATGGAGTGTGTTCTCATAGAACCCGTTATATTTACAAATGTAAACTGAACTATAACATTCTGAGTACCTTTTTCTTCAGGCTTTCCTTGGAGTGCTTCTGTAGGGCCAGCTGAGCAGTATAGGTCAGTGTCTCCCGCACAGTGAGGTAGGCAAGTAACGTATCATGCTGGGAAAATAATAAAAGGTTTTAGCTAATAAATATATTTCTATCACTATGAATGGGACATCAAAATAATTTGCCTTGTGTAGAACCTATAAAGCTCCATGAACAGTGTTACATATATTTATCCATCAAGAGCCTAAGTAATTTAAAATATTAAGACCTCACGAAAATACATATAACCAAGGAATGACAAAATTATGTTTAATATAATGCAAATAAATAGAAAAATAATACATTGTTTGTATACAATGTCCTTATGTATGGTTCTCCAACCCATAAAGTACTAAAAAGCATAAATGACATATACTAACTTAACAGGTATATTTGTATATTGGTATATGTTAAAGTGCCTATAGGTGCAAAATGCATCCAGTATGGTTTGTTTTTAACTTTATGCACACACCTGGGGCTTTAAAGTGACATTCCACTGCCCAAACACAAAATAAATTAAAATCACCGTGTAGTAGATATACCCCAAATGAAAACTCGAGTGCATTTAGTTATGCATTTTTAAATTTGAGTTATATCTAAAAACTGCTTGTAAAATATGTAGCTCTCAGGGCTGTAACCTCTGCTAGCCATCCTCTTCTAACCCTGCCCAGACTTTCTGTGGCTGTCCAATCACAGACTTCCCAATGCAGTTCAAGGAGAAGTCTTTGCAAGGCATGAGTCCAGTGCATCCAAGCTAACCTAGCCAGGAAGTAACTTGCCTGAAAATCCAGGGAGTATAACCAATTTCTATTGAAATCTGCACTTTTTCTAAAATGAAAACAATAACAAAAAACAGGACACTCTTCACACATAAAGCCTTTCGACAAGCTAATGTACTTTATGGGTCTGGTGTGTCTGTTTTACACTTTTAGTCAGTAAAAAACTTAATTACCACTGCAGCTACTATAGCTATCATAACTCTATATGCCCGCTATAGTTGTTTACAAAAGCCCTCCCCAACCACTTTTGTAGCTTTATCCATTAAAGGACCACTATAGGCACCCAGAACACTTCGGCTCAATAAAGTGGTCTGGGTGCCAGGTCCATGTAAACATAGCAGTTTCAGAGAAAATGCTATGTTTACGTTAGGGTTAATCCAGCCTCACTGACAGATTTTCATAGTGAGAAGACGCTGCCGTCCATAGGAAAGTATTGAGAAACACCAGATATGAAATTATGGGAGTTAATCAACCTGCATGAGGATGTAAGAATCGTAGACAAAAACTCAACTCAGGAACTGAAATTCAGAGACCTACACAGTCTCATAGAATGAGGAACTTGGTTAAATCCATCTTCCTAGTTGGTCTGATTTTGTCCTGAGCATATTTTAAGAAATTCTGCATAGTTCTCTACGTCTTTGGTTTTCACGGAGAGTTATCTATATTAGGATTCCCATACTAAGGTGTGCACCCACTGGATATTTATTTATTTATTTTAGTTTGAACATTTCTTGATCACTATATTAATGTGCTGAGAAGTTTGGCACACTAAGGGACACTTTGCCTTGTGTGGACACTACACATTACTACAGAACAGGGCTTGGTACTCATTTGGATACATTGGGTAACTCTCATGGAAGTCTTGTAAGTTTATATCTACGCATTGCTCAATGCTACCTGTAGGACATATGAGAAGCAGTCTTGAAACTGTTCTTTCTTCAGCTGAGACCCGTTCACATAGACCTCTCCAAGTAAAGTCCCTTTATGTCCTATTCTTCCTGACATTGCATCCAAGAGTGTCGTTTTCCCAGAACCTACATAAAACCAGGAAATGGTCATATCATGTCACATTGGCAAACATAAAATACGTAAAGATTAATTCTTAAATGTGCATTAATCACCATGGAAACATATGGAATGTTCCTACTGAGTATTCTGCACATAGCTTTCTGATTAAACTTTATACAGAACCCTCAGTATGTTAGTTTTGCAAATAAACCTTTTTTTAAATCTTTTTTTTTTTTTTATCAAATACAGTGAGATTGAGTATGGTGCATCAAACACACAACTCAAATGTGAAGAAAAAACAAAGTAATGAAAATAGAGAAACAAAGTATGTAGAGTCAAGGGAGACAAAGAACAGGAAGAGGTCAGAGCTGAAAAAAAAACCAACTTCCATCCATGCCTAGAGGTGAAATAACATATTGGAGGGGTGTGATAATGGCTGGCGGGAGGCTGTTATACACTGCCAATAGGTTTGAAGCCCTGAAGACTGGACCCTATGGAAGGCTGCTGTGGCAAGTTTAGATGAAGGCAGCCATTTCCAATATTGCTGTAATTTAGAGCATATTGTTGCACAGATACAAGATATTCCTTTATTTCATCCTTGTTCGCTGAGATTGGAGGTGAAGAAACACTGTCGGTGCATGAGAGGCATTAGGTATGGTACAATCATACGATGAAGTAGAAGAAGGATGAAGGTGATGAAGTATAAATCCACTATATTTGATTAAAGTGGCACTGTTATGTTAATGAGTATCCTTCTCTCTTGTGCTCTGCCTTCATTTATACTTATTATGTTTTTTTTTCCTTGCGCCAGATATCAATATGTGGGTACAGCCATTTTGTTCCATGTCCATGATGTCTGCAGTTTGCAATTCAGCGGCATTCTTCTGATTTCAGGTGATTCGCTTACTAACTAAAATGGAATTTGCTTAAGCTCCACTTATTGCCAAAGATCACACTCCCAATATGAAGAAGTAGGCCCTACATTTGGTTAGGTATAACTAAAAACCAAGAGGAAAACAGAGGTACAAAAAAGAATAATTTGAAAACAAAACCTAAAAAACTTACTGAAAACAAACTCACTATTGGGTCACCAACAGAAGAAATTGATTGTTACCCAGACTGATGCAGTAGAAACCTTATAAGACATAACAATACGAGAGATACCATAGAAAGTAGGGATGTTATGTACGTACCAGAGTTTCCTAAAATGGCCATTATCTGCCCGCTCTCCATATAAAAGGAAACATCTCTCAATATTTGTCTTGTCCATTTTTTGAAAAATGATTGGAAATCCCACCATGGCCCAACACGCTCACTAGTTAATCAAATATACAAAGAACACAACGAATCAGAGAAATTATTTCTAATCACCTTTTACATTAATATATTTTTTCAATGTAAAATCCTGTAATTCCATTGAAATATTGCATTTTATTTCATAAACATTTTGCTTGTGATTTGAAATAATAGAATTAAAGGACATGAAACTTTTTTTTTTGTACTTTTTTTTCTTTTTTTTACAGTAGAAGGAAATATAAAACAAAATAATGCACTTATTTTAGAAATAACATGGCATTGCTCGATTCAAAACTCTGTCTATTTTTTCATCATTGAAGGTCCTGTTTCTTTTGTTTACCATATTTATAGAGATCGACATAAATATTAAGGCAATGGGAGTCGGAACACATTTAATGCTGTTATTGGATTTAAACATACTCAACTTTTCTTTTTCCTCTTTTTCAAAGTCAGAGGCTCTGAGGGTTGAGGGAAATGCACACTATTTTGAGGTAAACCAGTGGAAAAAGGGAGCTGTGTTCTCACAAAGATATTGAATGCATGACCATACAAGAGGCCTCTGGGGATCTATGTATAATATGAAGCCAATGTATTGAACAAATTGGGAGCTCTCTTTGTCTACCCTACTTATCTGTCTGCTTGTCATGAATTTCTACAATGTTTTTATACAGATACACTGTGAATAGTCTGCTTACTATCCCATTTGAATGTGTCTGTCGACCAATGGTGAATGTTGAATACAGAAATGTAATCATTGATGGACAGTGTTTAGGAAAGGTATAGAGAATCTCATTTTTGTGGAGGCCTCCCTATCCGTCCAGGAAATGTTCTGCCTCTCCCTGAGTCTCCCAGGTTGTTAAAGCTGTATAGGCTTTATCTAGCAAGAATCGATAGTTTACAGATCACATGTCAGCTAGGTTATTTAATAATCATACAGTGGTATTGCTTAAGTTATGTTATCTGACACTTTTATAGCATGGATGTGTGCACAAGGAAAGAGTATTTCTGTAAATCAATAAAGAATTGACAGAAATCTGGGTGTTCAAAATCAACATATAAATTAGACAGAATATATCTCTGAGTCTGTCATGGCTAATGGGATACTGTATATACTACCACCACTAAACTGCAGTGCTTATGGTGCTTTGAATGACTCCTTAAATATAATCAGCATAGACAAAAATAATGTATACTTTACCTTGTATATATCTAGAGTGGTTTTAACATCTTAGGGAATCTTAAGTTTGTATAAGCAGGGTCCTCTTCAACCTATTATTCCTGTAAGTTGAAGTTCTTGAAATTGTCTCATTTATTCTTAAATCTCCCCCTCTTGTAATATTGTAAAGCGCTACGGAATTTATTGGCGCTATATAAATGCCAATAATAATAATAATAATTATAGGAAAATGTCCCCATGCTGTATATAGACCCCAGATGCGACATATATTTTTTGATTACCAACAAAGTTATTCAATAAAGTGTGAATTGTCCGCAGTTTACATTGAAAAAAATAAATCTCAAAGATTTTATTTGCTTTGGATTCTCAACAATTTACACTTTGGTGAATAGACATGTTAGCACGTTTTTTTCTGCATTTTTCTGATATATTTCTCAAGGGGAAAATGGAGCAATTACCATTTAAAGTGACATTACCCCGGGAAATACATAGGTGGTTATGTGCACAAACAGTCAGGTACACGTTTCTGTATGCATCAGCATTGTGTCTTTGTACCATATTCTGTATAAAACTGTTACCCAACCTTTACACATTGGTGCGTTATCTTTTGTCCTTTTCTGTAGTGCATCACAAAAATCAGTCTTTCAGACACTTTTTATTTCTTTCAGACTTTTTGCCGCTTTTTTTTTTACTGATGATTTTATTATTAATTACATTTGAAAAATAGGATAATAAATGAGTAATGTTATTAAAATAAAAAAGGCACCTTCGCAACTTGTCTCAGAAAACCCACCACACTGACAGTGGCGCTAAAATTCAATGTGAAGAGAAGCCTCACATTTGGGCCTTTTTGTTTACATTGGAAATATCAAATCTGTGAATAAAAAAAAATGGAACGAAAAAAAGATTGATACAAAGTATCAAAGTGAGGATTAAGTTGTCACAAATAAGGGCATAAATACACAAGAAGAGGAAAAGCACCAGAAAAAGCAACGTTAAAGGCGAACACACCTTTTACACACAGGTCCCAATGTGCTGACAAAACTGTGACAAAAAATAAAATAAAGTTTAAAGTAGAATTTAGTATCTGGACGTGCATTCAAAGCGGGAGTTCAATGCAAACATGATCTCCGGTGATCTTTAAACACGCACTGACGAGATAACTGTCTGGTTTTACATAAATATATCTAGGACTGCATCACAGTCATTAAATATGTACATTGTCGCTTGGCTTGCAATATGTCCATGTCACAACCGCAGATGGAAAACATGAAGATGAAAGTCCAGTCTAGTGCTGCATAATGTAAAAGCTGAATGGCACAGTATTGCTCAGACACAACACTATTTTAATGTATTTTTGAAGCATTAAAATAGTTTCTCTGAAACTGCTATGTTTTAAGCTGCAGGGTAAAAACTAGAGGGACCTGGCACCCAGACCACTTAATTGAGCTGAAGTGGTCTGGGTGCCTATAGTGGTCCTTTAAATAAGAGACAAATAATTAGAAGACACAAAACGATACAATACAATATTGCTGGTGTCATCAATAAATGGCAAACACCTGTCATTAAAACTCTCTGAGTAGGTAGGTAGATATCACCCCAACCTAGAGGTAGATACCTTACTGGAAGGTAACACAGCACACTAATTCTGATTTAGATAGAATGGTGGGATAACATGTTTGCCAACACATTGTTTGAGGAAGAGCTTCAGGTAAATGTATCTATACATTTGCTGGAAACATCACTAACTCAATAATCAAGATATTTACACGTAGCATAAACATGACCAAACACAAAGGACCAATTAGGTGCAAACAGGAAGTAACCACAGCATTGGTTGGGTGTCAGTTATTGTGAATGATACAGACAAAGGCAGACTGGGACATCCGGCTCATGTCCCATAGTGACACTTTATAATATGAATAAACATCTTATTAGTGCTGTAGGAGGTCATGGCTAGATCAGCCGGGGACACCAGATTTGCAAAGTTTCACCACTCTCTGAATCTTCCACAGCATCTTAGAGACATATCACATCTCCCGGGCAACAAATTCCATATCTTTGGGGCGCTAAAACTAAAACTAACAGGGTTATTCAATAAAGTGAAAATTGTCTGGAATTTTAGTGAATAACTCTGAATGATTGCTTTGGGGACCTGCAAATAATTAATAAGAATAATAATTAGAGTTATATGAGGTCCATGCATTTACCTGCAGCATTCTCTCTGTGACTGCTTAAACTGGTATATGTATAGTGCAAACAGTAGGGTTCACATATCGAATGTCAATAATCTATTCATTCATTGTTAGAGCAATGCATCAGGTGTTATGGAAATGGAAATGTATTAAGTGGACAGTGATAGTTTAAGCGACATTGAAAAGTTAGAATATAATTTGGGGAAGGGATTAATTGGCAAAGTTAAGTAGTAGGGGTGCTAACCTAAAATGTACTATTCATTTCAACAGATTATTTTGTAATGGAATAGATTAGAACTATGAATACCAATAATATATTTTGAACATATTGCAGGTATTTATATTTCATTTGCAATAATACATGAATATTACATGAAATAATAAAATTGTATACAATTACATTTAGATATGTGCATGCATGTATTCAGTGTTGTGTATAAAACACTTTCAGGGTTTATTCATCAAAGTGAGATTTATCAGGAATTTAAAATGATATTAAAACGGCCAAGCGGTTAAGTTACTGTGGCCTTAAATTTGAAAATCATTTTGAACTTACTTTCAAATTCCCAACAATTGTTACTTTAGTGTGTAACCCGATCTGGTCTATATCTTGCAAAGTGATTTTTGTTTTTATTGTTTAATTAAGGCTAATAGGCACAAGAATCAAGTTTTATGGTAGTTTTGCTTCCTGCTGTTGTTTATAAAGCTCTGCGGAATTTGATGGCGCTATATGTATAACTTAATAATAATAATATTATCTATGCTGTTTATTTTTAATTTGCAACGTCATACCTGACAGTGTAGGAGATCCCTTGAACGTTAATGCTGCATTTGGGGTATTCTTTGGACTCCATGGGTTCCACGTGGAACATCCTGGGGTTCTCTGATGATCCTGCTTGTTCTATTGGATGACTTTCATTTATCTCCGCATGGCCCCAGACGTTATCCATGTTCTAAAAACAAGACGCCTTTTTACTTGGTTTCAGCAGAGACATCCCCCTCCTTTCGGTGAATAAGATATGGTCATTAAACCTTGATCTTGCCCCGTCTCCTACCTGTACTCCACCACCTATTCCTAAACCTCCTTTCTCTCACTATATTGTGAGATGACCTGCGTTACTCACCTGGGAATTTGCAGACATGGAAAAGCGTTTGCTGTTTGCATTAGCTTGCAAAGTTTTAATCTGAGATGTTTCTTCTAACGCTTGTTCTTTGTGTATTGTGTATTCCCCTGGATTGGGATTTATCTTTCACGGAATGAGTTCCCTGGGAAATGTAATTTTCTTATCTGATAATACTTTAGACCTCTGCACTGTATCCAAACAGAACAATTTATTAGGTGACAGTACCACGAATGGGGCGTGTTTTCAGTAGATAATAGGGATAAGCTAATGCTATCCTACCCGCACACTCCATTTAGAATTAGAAGTCACTGTGTTCAGACTTAGTGACTGACATTATGAGGCACTGACATCAAAAAAAGACTTCACTTTATGTAGCGTAGGAATTAAGGAAACAATGGACAGAACAGATGTACAGTCCATGGAGCTGGTAAAAAGGCAAGAGCGTTTTGCTTCGTTTCATGGTCTACCGGTAAGTAAATTATGGCCTAGACCAAAATAATCACACTATGGACACGTTGAATAATTTATATCATTGGGGGGCTACCATGTAATGCAGGGGATGTATCTTTATACCATTGGAGTAACATCTGAGAAAGTAAGGGGAGAAAGTGTCTAAAAGGGTTATTGTAATATCTCATTGTTATAATTTTATCCTTATGTTTTTACATAACAGTCTCGTAAGGATAGAGGATAATGATGTTGTGTGTGTTATTTTGCATTTAACTTAAAACATTGCAAGTGTTAAATATAGATTTCATGGGAAAAAAATGTAAGTAACACTACTTGGGAGGAAAAAAATGATGGACCCCCATCTATTAATACAAAATCAGTATTGCAATGGCTACAGTTTATAAAACAACTAAGCCTTAACGATAGCAAAGCATATACCATGTCCTCATAGCGGAATAAGGCACGCGTAGCAAACATAGATTAAACCATTGAGGATCCATGTTATTGCTGTAAACGCTGGCCGGGCCCCTAAGGTATTAAATGTATGCATGATAAGAATGTAAGCTCATTGAGCAGGGCCCTCCAACTCTCTGTTCCTGTACGTCCAGTTGTCTGGTTACAATTACATGTCTGTTAGTCCACCCATTGTACAGCGCTACGGAATCTGATGGCGCTATATAAATAATAAAATAATAATAATAAGCACTGGACTCTCTTTTTTGAGCAGTGCTGTTGCTAAATGAATTGGACTAGGGTCGTTAAAGAACAGAATATTGGCACCATCACTTCTGGTCCTGAAGAGGTTAATGTGAATTGGGAAAGAATAGCCACTAAGGTTTGTTGTGCAGAAAAGCTAATTACTAGAAATTCTTAATACTGGGAATATGGGTCTTCACTTCTTTCACTACAGGTCTTGTTTTAAGGAGCTAATTCTAAGACATAAACTATTAGCATATCTCTAAGGGTCACTTATTTCCAAGCATGGCTTTGGGTTATACGACTATGACAATACTTCTACAAGCCCATGAATTGTAATATAAATCAAAACACTGATACTTAGCACGTATTAATGTATCACAAAGAATTAATGAATTAATTTTGGTGCCAACACCCAGGAGACACTGGAAAGTATCCGACAGCTCTGTTATAGCCAGCATTCTATAGAATAAAAGAAGCAAGATACCGTTACTCAATTGTGTTACAGCTATGCGTATGAAACGGGACCTGCGTGTCCGACTGACTGTAATTGCTAATTGGCACATTGAGACCTGCGAGTCTCTGTGCATCACAATATGCTTTACCATCCAAAATGATCCGCGAGTCACTATAAATAACTTTTTTTTTTCATGCATACAAACGACACAAAAGATATAATAAACACATATTTACAAAAAAAAAATAAGCAAGAAATGGAATTCTTAAGTATGAACCTTTTCTGATGATCTCTTGTAGCGGACGACAGAGACAGTTTTTTCAAACAATTAGCACATAAGACAAGCTGAAAGATTCAGGGATATCTAAAAATGTACCTTCTTATGTCATATATGTGCATAACCCATGGACACTTTTGGTCTTTGAAAACGCTGTTATTAGAGCTGAAATGTTTATTTGAAGTATAACGCACTATTTATTGATAATATTGAGAAAGTATATGAAATTGTCTAAACTATTTGCCAATCTATGGAGAGATGTTTTTGATACATTATGCAATTTATGCATAGACTGGCTAAAGTAATAATATGCTGTCATATCTTTTTTATATCAGGGTTTTGCTAACACAAACGCTGTAGACACTCCATTATTTGGAAGCCAGTGCAATAAATAGTAATCTATTAGAGGTAGTCACTAAAGTAGAAAAAGCCCAGAATTCGGAGTGAATTTCAAATCTATTGTTTTAAGTTTGGCTCTTTTGGCCTTAAATATTGAATTCATGGCTACTCTTACTATACTGAATTGCTAATTTACAATTGAAATTCACATTAAATTTGTTTTGAGTGTGTCCTTTTTTTCCTGGGTTGGCAAAAGATATGGAAAAATTTAGGAAAAGTCACTTAACCCTTCGAGGGACTGCTTTGGTGATTAATGAGTGAAATTCAGGCAAATATATGTTACATAAACTCATGACTCATAGACTTATAGAAATGAGGAAGGATAATGTGGCTGATGAACATTAATTAATTTTGTGGATGAAATTTCTTGCAAGTTTTGCCCATTGGCCAAATCATACTGTTTCTTTCACAGAGTTCCCTCAGATTAATAAGTAATATTCATGATGAATTCTAGCCAGTTTGTTGGGGATAATCCAAAAGTGATTGTAATCAAATTGAATAGGTTACCTGCACCACTGTCATCACACACGTAGTGAATTAACAGGTTTTATTACAAATTAGATTTTCTATTGAAGCCTGACCTGTGTATGAAATAGATTTATTTAATTGATTCTTTTAAAAGCTTTTGTCCTGAGAAATAATTTGTAGAATTTGCTTTGGATTCTCCTTGTATACAAACTCCGCTGTACAACAGGTGAACTAACAAAAATGTATTTGCAACGAGACAAGATGGACGCACTGGAACAGAGGGTGTAGAGGGCCCTGATCAAACAAGCTTACATTCTAGGAGTGGGGCAAAGTGGCACAAAGGGCAAGGGTGGGATGCATATCATGTACGGGATAAAGTAGGTTACTAGAATAGTTTACAGTGAAGGGTTCATTTATTGGCTGACACAGTTGCAGGAGAGGAACTAAGGCGGGCTACCAAAGTGTGGGAAGGGAAAACTGTTAACAGTTTAATTAGTATGCTTTCCTAAATGGTAGATGGTTTCAACCCTGTGCATTACAGGACATTCTTACTTTGTTTATCGGCTAAAAGCCGTTAATGGACAAAAACTTCTGGATATTTTTTGCAGGGATTTAAATCATTTTTAAAACTCACCTTATATTCTCTGTAGTGATTTTACTGTTTAACAACCAATGACATTCCAGTCAAATATCACAGTCTTGTATTTAAACCAACACAGTTTTATATTATTATTATTATTATTATTATAGGCTTTTATATAACGTCATTACATACAGCAGCACTTTATTATTATACAGTGGGGATATATACCACAGCAAGTGACTGACGGACAAAATAATGTTGACAGATACAAGTGGTTAAGAGTGCGCTACTTAAACAAACATATGTTGAGGTGGTTATGGTACAAAGATTATTTTGGGTGCTGTACCCCATCTTCTGTCAAGCCATTTGGAATGTGGTACTAACCTACCTACAGAGCTTGCAGTCCAACACTGTTGTCAAAGGTTGAATGGCTTTGGATGTCTGATTTTGCAATACACCTTGTATATTACGTAACGTAGCAGTATATGGATGCTGTGGACAGCTGCGACCCTATAAGTGCCATAACAATTTGTTACAAAATTAGTAATACATATGATCAGATTAATGATGCAGGGGGAAAAAAGCCTTGATTTGGAATAGGTGGAAAGACGGACAGTTTTAATATGGTATTATTAAATTTCTTTATTTTTGTGTAGAAATCCTATTCCTGAACTTATAGATCACTTATAAATAATATTTTCACAGGTTGGTGTAATGCCTGGAGAGAACCTATTTGTTCCTGAAGAAGATAACAGTTTATATTTTACATATTCTGGCAGCCCAAATGTGCTTGAGGTTAAAGATCTGCATTACCAGGTAAGAGAGGGTTTTATTTCATGAATGAAACAACTACATATACATTTGGTATTTTGTGTATTCCTCATTCCCGTCTGCGAGACTTATTAAATGATTGAAGACTAGAGGATAAAAGAAAGAGTCTGATGGAGGTTGGCAGGCTGTTCCAGAAGAGAGGGACTGTCAGGAGAAGTCTTGCATGCAAGAGTTAGCAGTAAGGATTATAGCAGCAGACAGGAGAAGGTCCCCAGCCGAGTGGAGAGACTGAGAAGGGCCGTGCCTACGCCTGTAACAGGCGCTAGAGGTGTTTAGAGCTTTATAGGTAAGGGTCAGTATTTCGAATTGACTTCTGTAGGGTACAATGTAAGGATTGACAGAGGGGCAAGGTGTGAGAGGAGAGAAAAATCAGATTGGCGGCAGCATTCATTACGGACTGTAGCAAGGCAGTTTCTGAGAAAATCAGTTTGGAGAGAATTAAAGTAACCAATGCAAGACATTACTAGAGCATGAACAAGCTTTCTCATAGAATCTTGCGTAATGAAGGGGCAAATGCGGTCAATGCATTTTAGGTGGAATTGGCAGGTTTTAGCAATGGAAATGAGGTGTAAAGGTGGGTCCATAATCAAAAATAACACCAAGACAGCGAGCCTGCAAGGACAGGCTGATGCAGGTACCATCAACCTGCAGTGAGAGTGAAAGAGAAGGATTAGTATTAGGAGCAGGAAGGAAGAGAAACTCAGTTTTAAGGAGATTGAGTTTCAGAAAACAGGAGGACATCCAACTGAAGATGGTAGAGAGGCGATTAGGGATGTATTCTAGAACAGCGGGGAGAGATAAGGGGAGATGAGATATGAGATGACCCACCACTTGTTCAATAGCCTGTGAGAAAGCCGGAAGGTTGGACAGGCACAGTCTATGTGTGTTTGAGAGAGGGAGAAGAATTCATTGCCAAAGGGAGAAGAATTCATTCCTTAACCCCTTGAGACCGCAGCCAAATGTACACGTTGTGATCAAAACAAAACGTAAACAACACCTGGCATTTGCGCTACATGTCTGTCCAACCGTTATTCACCTCTTTCATATTAAAGGACCAATATAGTGCCAGGAAAACATACTCGTTTTCCTGGCACTATAGTGCCCTGAGGGTGCCCCCACCCTCAGGGACCCCCTCCCGCCCGGCTCTGGAAGGAGGAAAGGGTTAAAAACTTACCTTTTTCCAGCGCTGGGCGGGGAGCTCTCTGCTTCCTCTCCTCCTCCGTTCCTCCTCCTGGGCTGAATGCGTACGCGCGGCAAGCGCTGCGCGCGCATTCAGCCCGTCGCATTCAGCCCGTCGCATAGGAAAGCATTTACAATGCTTTCCTATGGACACTTGCGTGCTCTCACTGTGAAAATAACAGTGAGAAGCACGCAAGCGCCTCTAGTGGCTGTCAATGAGACAGCCACTAGAGGAAACAGGGGGAAGGCTTAACCCATTCATAAACATAGCAGTTTCTCTGAAACTGCTATGTTTATAAAAAAATGGGTTAACCCTAGAAGGACCTGGCATCCAGACCACTTCATTAAGCTGAAGTGGTCTGGGTGCCTAGAGTGGTCCTTTAAATGCAACCACATTTATTATATATCATTTTATTCAGGGGAAACAGGGCTTTCATTTAACATCAAATATCTAGCTATGAAACATAATTTAATATGAAAAAATGGGAGAAAATAAGATTTTGTTTACATTTTCTTAGTTCTTCGTAACATTTTAACTGTGAATGTCATAATACTGTTTGCTTTTACTGCAATAAAATAGACATATTTGTATTCAACGATGTCTCATGTGTAAAACAGTACCCCCTATGTACAGGTTTTATGGTGTTTTGGGAAGTTACAGGGTCAAATATGGCATGTAACACTTTTCAGTTTTTTCACATGGAAATTCTCCAGATTGGTTACGTAGCCTTTGAGACTGTATGGTAGCCCAGGAATGAGAATAACCCCCATGATGGCATACCATTTGCAATAGTAGACAACCCAAGGTATTGCAAATGGGGTATGTCCAGTCTTTTTTAGAAGCAACTTGGTCACAAACACTAGCCAAAGTTAACGTTAATATTTGTTTGCTATTGAAAAATGCAAAAAAACTAATTTGAACGCCAAATTTTGGCCAGTGTTTGTGACTAAGTGGCTACTAAAAAAGACTGAACATACCCCATTTGCAATACCTTGGGTTGTCTACTTTTGCAAATGGTATGCCATCATGGGGGTTATATATGTAAAATTATTATATATATATATATACGTAAGTGTATGTATATATATATATATATATATATATATATATATATATGTATATAATTTTTTTAAATTATTTTTATTTATATATAGGTATACATATAGTGATATATACGTATATACTTATATATATATATATATATATATATATATATATTATTTTGTTCTATATGTATTTTGATATCAATAAATTACAAGAAATTACACACATATAGTTTAATTATTTATTTTTAATATTTTTTTTATTTTTTAACGTATTTACATATTTTATTTTTTATTATATATAAATATATATATATAATTATAAATATATTTACTCAATATCCTTCTACGTGTATTTTGATATTAATATATATTTATATAATTATATATATATTAATATTAAAATACACTTAGACAGTGTATCTGTAAATACACCGTGATCTGCAGGGGGATCCTGCCTGTAGTTACATGTGTCAGCCAAAACATAGTAACTCTGATCGCAGTGACAGGCTGTCACTGCGATCAGATCGCAGGGAGAGGCTGTTTCTGCGATCAGATCGCAGTGACAGCCTGTCTCTGCGATCAGACTCTGCAGATCGCGGTCACTGACTGCAGGGGCACTGCCTGGGGGTCCAGGCATGTCCCCCGACCGCGATCTGTAGAGTGAAAATGCCACGGCTCCACGTGTCAGCCGATTTTAAAATCGGCTGACACATGGTAAATACCGATCGCAGTGACAGCCTGTCACTGCGATCAGAACGTGCAGACCGCGGTCCCTGGGCACAGGGAGGCTGCCTGGGGAGCAGGCATGCCCCCCAACCGCGATATGCCGTGACCATGTGCCACCGGCCACGTGGGAGGCAAGACCACCCAGGGCGTTCTATGCTGCCTTGCGGCGTTTAGAGCCATCCAAATAGGGACCGCATAGAACACCATGCTATCTTAAGGGGTTAACAGATCAATCTTGTAAAATAGAAGGTATCAGCTGAAAGGTTAGTTTGGGGTTTGCCACAGTAGGGCAATGAAGGAAATGGAACATATCAACGAGATGCCTGGGATTGTGGGAGTGTGTATTTATAAATCATCTAGAAATGCTATTTCTGCATATGACTTTGGGTGCAAGACTTGATACCTGTCCTGAGTGAATGGTCCCAAGGCAAAAGAGCTACATCTGGGGCTTTAACCTTTGAAGCCATTCCCCCGAAATACCTACGGGTCAAACCCTTCTAAAAACACTACAGCTTACATTTAAGTTAACTTAAATATTGTGCACTGTATATACATGTCAAGCCTCACTACAACGATGTTCATTATTATGTAGCGGGTACCTGCTGTTGGGGCATGGCACACGCATATACAACTGTATTTTTTTCACATGCACTCAAAAATAAAGAATTTATATTAAAAAAAAAAAAACACTACAACTGATGGAAGTATAGAATTATTTCCCATAATTAATGGGTTTTCAGCTGAAATAAAAAAAATAAAAAAAAACCTTTGAAATAAATCAGTGAATTGTGATAAACCGAAAGCTGAATTGCAAAAATAATTTTAAAATAGTTAGTCAAGCTCTGTCTGTAGCTGAGCTAGATCATTTTTTTCCAAAACAGCTATATTGGTCTACATATTCCAGTCTGGTTTTCCATTCACTAAAATCCACTGTTTACATAATAAATCATATGGTGTGAAAAACATATATTATTGGTCCTCAATTCAGTATTTCTGGCTAAGCTTGTCAAATGATTTAACATTTTGTGATAAATACAAATATAAAAAAATATATCATATAAAAAAAATATTGTTATATAAAAACAAAATCGAAATATAAAAAAAAAATATCTAATTAGTAAATAATTTTTAAGATTTATCCAAACATATTACATCAAGGCCTTACTGGTGATTTTTTTCTTCTTTTATAAACAAGCCAAAATTAGGAAATTTGTATTTAATTGGACCTGAATTCACCATTTATTTAATAAAACATATATTTTATAACAGATGTATCAACGCATAACAGAGTAAACTCCTAAGTTAGACTGCCATATTTTTATGATGATACAAAGACAGGGTATTTCAGACTATATAGTCAAGAAACAATTACTATGGAATAAAACACTAAAGAATAGGTATATCAGGATAGATATTTATGAGAAGATTAATATAGAATTAACATGCTAAAGACAGGATATAACTGGCTAGATAGTCACATGTAGATTATTATAGAATAAACATGGTGGGCTATTGTTGCAAGAGTGACTACCTAGGTATCGTTGTCGTTTGTCAAATTAGCAGGTATAGCAAAAAGGGTCAAAGTAAGACAAAGTAGATATACATGTCCGAACTTAAGCTTGGGTAAACGACAGGTTGCACAACAAGTTAAGCACTCTCTATGCATGTTTATGGTACTAAATTGGTGAGATTAGAAAACCTATATTTTTTCAACGTGTCCCAACATGTGTCATTAGTCTTGCATTCTTTGTCTTCAAGGTTAATTTAGGTGCTCAGATCCCATGGTACGAGAAACTGGCAGAGTTTAAAATGCCGTGGGAATGGAATAAAGGGAATGAAACCTCCACAATTAGAAATCTGAATGTGAGGGTAAACAGTGGGCAAATGTTGGCCGTTATTGGAAATACAGGTAAGATGACTACATAGCCCATAAACCCCTACTATACAGTAGCTTACAGTTATAAGAACGAGGACAGAATGAAAATGTCCTGATCGCTGGAGATTCGTACTGATCTGGGTGTAGTTTACGGATTTGCTAATTTTTTACAGTTTCTTAGTGTTATCATATTTTTTTTTGCTTATATCAGTGATGCAACTTGCATCATTATCTTATTGAAAACCAGCCAAGAAAAAAATATATATATTTATTTAGTGCTGACATTGCACATTGTAGCTGGAAAAAAACCACATGGAGACAGTCACTTGGCCGGGTTTCCCAATCATTTTCTACAAATGTGCTGCTTTGATATCTGCTTGTCAACCCCTCCCTCCTCACATACTATGCAAGATGAATAGATAATTTGACAGATTTAAAAATAATTTACTAAAGTAAGAATTCAAAGTGAATTCTCCAATTCAGCCATGCTTTAAGTTTGGCTACTCTATCCTAAAAGTTACAATTCACTATAAATTCTCACTTTGTGAATAACCCTGTTGGAGATCGCTGCAAGTGAATGTAACATTTAAAATATCCGCAAAGAGAGGTGAATAACCAGTGTGCAAACTGCACGTTCACCATTAATGTGTTGGTTTAAACGTCTACTAAAATTCAGACTCCATAGACCAGAATGAGAGGGTCCTGATAAGCTGATCTATTTCCTGGAGTGAGCAGAATTCCGACAGAACTAAAATAAAAGTCATAAAGTAGATTGCTATGTGTTTCATTTATATATCTATTTTGGAATACAAAGGGTCAATGAATTTTAACTGTGCGTGAAGAAGTATCATCAAAACCAGGGATTTGCTTCAAGAGTCTACATTTCTACATAACTCATTTTACTGCCCTGTGTTTCTGTTTTTATAGGATGTGGGAGGACGTCATTACTTGATATCATTACATGCAAAGATGAAGGTGGAAAGATCAGATCGGGAGAGATACTCATTAACGGGATATTAATAAACAAACATTTAGTTAAGAAATGTGTCGCTCACGTGCGCCAGGATGATCAGCTCTTGCCACACCTGACAGTCCGAGAAACACTCTCTTTTATTAGTAAACTACGCCTTCCCAAATCATATTCGGAGGAGCAAAGGAAGAAAAGGGTAGGAATGTGGTTTATTTTTTTAAATCTTGAAGTCAAGAAATCATTGATCTGCCTGTCTGTTCATCTTTTCTTCTATTTTATGATGGCCTGCTGCTAACAAATATTAGGTATAACTGTTACCTACTGAGCCCTTACATTAAAAGTATTGCTAAAAACAAGTGGTTGTGGCGAAATGTTAGGCCTGCCCAGTCCTACTTCGGACAACATCAAGTTTACTTATGTACCATCTTATAAGTAGAAAAACTAAATAAAATAAATACACAAGATTTACAGATCACAGGGTGCAGGTGTGATCAGGCCGCAAGTCTCAGGAACACATGAACCATCACAAGTGCAGATTGTTGCCATCTGCGATAGAGATAACTTGCATCCACACTTTATTATTATTAGTATTTTATTATTTATATAGCGCCATCAGACTCTGTAGCGCTGTACAATGGGTGGACTAACAGACATGTAATTGTAACCAGACAATTGGATGTACAGGAACAGAGGGGTGGAGGGCCCAGATACCACAGAACCTCCCCCAACTATTAGAGAGAGGTTCTGTAGTAGTAGTCATTTCATCCTCCCCTCCCCCCACCCCCCAATGACTCCTCTTCTGCAACTGTCAAAAATAACCTAAGTTCTCAGTGAATACTTTTCTAGCAACCTATTTCATTACCCCAACGTATACCCTTTGTGTCATTATACCCCACTCCCTCTAGCATGCAAGCTCATTGAGCAGGGCCCTCAATCCCTCTGTTCCTGTGCGTCCACTTGTCTGATTTCAATTACGTGTCTGTTAGTCCACCCATTGTACAGCGCTACAGAATTTGCTGCCGCTATATAAATATTAATAATATTGTTTATGGCAGCATCAAAAATACATTTTGGATTGCCTAAACATTGATCAGTTTGGAATTTAGTAAATAGATCTTTTGCAGGTATGGTGCCTCCCATTGGCTACACTTTCTCCACAATTCTTTTATTTCCACAGGGATTCAGTGTGTATAGAGTCATAAACATAATAACTTTCTTTTTTTTTTTAATAGTACCTTTAGAACTTTCAGAACAGGTTTGTGCCGATATTAATTACAGGATTACTTTTCAGGTTACAATTTGACGCTTCCGTTATTACTCCTGATGCTTTACAAATACATTTTAAATGTTAGTGTTTATAGATGATTAAATAATAGACTATAGAGCATGTTAAACTTAGAATCTTTTATGCCCAATTTATTTATTTTTTCATCACACTAATAGGTGGAAGAGGTCATAGCAGAGCTCAGGTTACGGCCATGTGCCAACACTAAAGTTGGGAATGAATTTACCCGAGGAGTATCAGGTGGAGAACGACGTAGAGTGAGCATTGGGGTCCAACTTCTCTGGAATCCAGGCATGTATACACCAAGCTAATTGCAATTACAGTTCACATAAAACAGGAAGCTGGAGGAACACATGACTGTTACCTTTCTGGTAGTATACAAAAGAACCTGATGGTTTTACAGAAAGAGTGTTTACTACAGAAGAGTAACTGATGGCCACATCCCACCTGTTAATATTGGGCAAGTACCATCTGGTCCATACTTTGGCTCATAGTCTGTTTTGAAGTATTGAGTCAAAACTCTTGCTTAAATCTAATTTGGTTTAATCTGGGAAAGTTGCAGTTTACAATTTATGACCAGTTGACCAAAAATACAAGACAACATTTTCAGAATTACATAATGAAAGTCATATTCCTTACACTCCTTTTCTTCTACTACAGGTATTTTGATACTGGATGAGCCCACGTCTGGTTTGGACAGTTTTACTGCACACAACCTTGTGATAACTTTGTCGAGGCTCGCCAGGGGAAATCGATTGGTCATATTATCAATCCACCAACCTCGCTCAGATATATTCCAACTGTTTGACATAGTTCTTCTCTTATCATCTGGAACCACTATTTATTCTGGGACAGCCAAAGACATGGTGCAATATTTTTCTTCTATAGGATATCCTTGCCCCAGATACAGCAATCCTGCTGATTTTTACGGTAGGTAAACATAAGCACAACTTAAATTAAGTTTTACTGAAAACTTCCCTTAGTTTTCTGAAGATGCTCTGATTTCTCTTTATAGGTTGACCAATGAAGGCTGATCATTTTCGTTTGACTCCCAAAAAGTTTCCATTACATGTTTGTATCATATAAAATGATAAAATGCTGAAATACAGTGGGGATATTAAATATATTGGATATTGGGTGTTTCAGATACCTGGGGTATAATGTAGCCGGCTGATACTTATTTTATTTTTCATTTCAATAATGTCAATTTTAAAAGGAATATTGATCTCTTTCTAATGCCATATATAGATAATCCTTTAAAAATAAACACATGGTTAAAAATTGAAAAAAAAAATGTAAAAAACCAAAACAAAACAAAAAAGATACTTGCAAGTTGAAACAGCTGACCTGCCCTTCCAAAATCGGAAAGAGACTCCACCAATCAGGAACCCTTCTTTCTGGTCTATGTTGAGGTTTCCTATGAATCTCTGTCTACACATTATCAATGGCATATGTAGTTAAGACTTTAGCTGGTATTGTACTGATAAGATCAGCTTTTGATAGTCCTGTTCAACATTTTGTGATGGGCTGTGTGCAGCCATCTGACAATACCCCATCTACACATGCACAACTCTGAGAGAGGTAGGGACGTTGGCATTGTATGTAGAACTCATGTACAAGTTGGACAGAAGTTGGACACTTAGGAGAAGGTACAACTTTCTCCTCTGCAATTCACACCAGAGCCTCAGAGGGGGCAGTCTAAGAGATGCATACATTTTGAAAATTGCTACAGTTAGAAGCGTATCTGTGCAGAGAAACAGGGTCCGAGAACGGTATACGCCATATGCATTCACTTTGTCCAAAGGTTTATTTAAACTGTTTTATTTACTGGCTATATAAAGAAGTAAAACGAAATAAACTGACATATAACTACATAATTGTCTTGGTTGAAAAATAGAGTCCAGTCCATCATTAAAATATATCTTTTCATGCTGTTGGTCCAAAAGAAGGAAAAAACTAAACCGAGTAGCATTTTAAAGCGATGGCCAATTATGCCAGAGAAGGGGAAAAAAATTATATTCTTGACTCTATAATGGCAGTCAGGTTTCTACTTGGATCAACAACCAGATATATTTTAATTATATCTTTGAATATTCTGTTTTAAAAAACAAACAAACAAGCAAACATAAAACATAACAGCATAAAATGATAAAACACCCTTATTTGTCTTACTGTGAAGAACGTTTTCTTCTGCTGTGAGTAAAATAAAATTAATTTAGTAAAATCAACAAACTATTCCTGCATTATGTATATGTCATTTCTGTGATTTCAGTTGATCTGACCAGCATTGATAAACGAACCAAAGAGCAGGAAGCTGAATGTCTAGAAAGGACAAGATTCCTGGCTCAAACATTCTGGGATAAAGTCAAAGATTCTAAAGATTTCCTGTGGAAAGTCAGCAATGAAGAAAACAAAGATACGGCACCAAGTGAAACGTGGTAAGCTTACCTGATATAAATCTAATTTATTAAATATTTATTTAGTCAAAATATCCATTATCAGATTTTTGGATATGTAGTGACTGTACTTGAGAGTATTGATACTTGGTTTAGTCTTTAATAATGAACCAAGATTTATCGAACCTTTAGAACAATAATAAATAGTGAAATCAATTCTAAATAAAATATTCACACCGTTCCCATTGTTAAATAAGTCTCTAACTCACAGGAAAGAGCAATGATGATAGTGAAAACCATTTTTTTGTGAGTAGTTGCTTGGATGAATATAAAATGTCTGTTATAAAGGATTCATACCAATACTAATGATTTATTATTCACTGAAATGTAGTGAATTTTCAGCTGAGTTCCAAAATTGTAGCCAATTGCATCCTACTTATATAGTATCAACATATTCTGCTGAGCTGTACAACATGTTTGCCATGTTCGTAGGAGAACAGGGCTCTGTCCAAATGAGCTTACTGTAAGGGGCGTTGTTTAGTAGAGGAAGTCCATGATGCAGAAGGAAAAACAGCAGAACAGGCACTGAAGGTATGAACACCGTAGGATCACAGTATATAACTGAGCAATGAATCTTAGCAAGAGTGGAGTTTAAATAGGAAAAGGGAGGTATATCACTTACCTTCTCTCCCCCTCCTGAATACACCCCTTTGTCAGTACTGCCTTCTGTCACTTAAAGAAAGGGTTGTTTCGGTGGGCGTGTGCCATAGGACTCTCCTGTTCCGTCTGGCATGCTGGCTCCTGATTCGCGGTGCCGCTTGTGGGATGTAGCACAGTTTGTCTCCACATCACTGCGGGTCAGCCACGTGGATGAAACGTGCAAATATCAGTGTCAGAATTTGTTGTAAATCAAATGAATCCTTCGAACTATCTTGGCTACCAATGTACCAATGTTACAGCTGTTGGTGATGTAATGGTGCCAAGTTTTCTTGGCAAACATTGCGGCCTTTAATACCAACTCAACAAGTAAATGTTTCCAAGAACATAATCCTCCATATTTTAAAGCAAATATTGATACAAGCTGGTTCCATAAACCTTGACAGGTGCTTCAGTGACCAGCATGGTCTTCAAATCTCAACCCAGTAGAGTATCTTCAGGATGAGGTGGAAAAGAGAGATTAACAGTATAAACATGCGATCAAACTGTTTGCAGGAACTGCATGCTGCTATTGGGACAGGATGGACCAAAACCCATACATAATATGTACAACACCTCGCTGAACCTGTGGTTACTATAACACAGACTGTTCTGGAGGTATACTCTGTTCTGGATTAGTATAACCATAAAATGATCACTGAGTGCAGTAACCTGAAAGTAATGGGAATAAATTGTGAATTTGTAATAGGAAAAAAAAATTTTTTTAGATATGGAAAATGGGTATTCCTTATGTTTATGTGGGAATGAGACAAGACTCCTATAGGTCGCTTAAAATATATTGATCATTTAATTGTAATTTTTTAGCATGCCTGTTTGTTCATATAAGCAGTGTTTTTCTTTTTTCCAGTGTAAATTCTCCAATCAAATCATCTGAAAAAGTAATTCTTATGGATGCACGTGAAGCAGACCAGCTGCCACAAGGATTTCACCAATTCTCTGTTTTAATAAGGTATTATCTCATTGTCTGCTATCGATATACTACTTATTTTAAATTACTTTTTTACTGAATGGTCCAATGAAATTAAATTAAAAAAAGGAGACCTTAAAGTAGGAGCTGAACAATTGGCAGACATTGAAAGTTTAAAGTAATATATTGTGATGTTTGTGATAGGTAATAAAATATTTCAACAAACACACATAAATTTAATCTCTTAGGACTTAAGGAAGTCATAAAGGCAACAAACATGTTTCTTCACAGCTCCCATTTTGACAATCAAGAATTAGGAGATAAAATGTCCACCTCTTAAACCCACATGCTCGTCGTGTCTCCTGTGAGTTTATTAATTAAACGCCAAATTGTAGCAAATTAAAACCTGAATGTCCAAAAATCGCTGATCTGAAAAAAAATCTAAAACTCATCTATAGATGTGGCCTGACATATTTGCCTTTATTTTACAATTTGGTTTTCAATGTGCTACTATTCAGATTTTAGTGAATAAAACCCTAAATCTTCAGACAACACACCTTTTTTTCAGAATAATCCTAATTTATGGGGTGGGTGGCGAGACACAGAGGAATCTAGAATGAGAAAGGCATTGTGTACATGCCTGTTTTGTCTGAAAACATTTGCCAGATGTCCTTTACAGGCTGGTGAATGTTTTTTAACAGTGGAGATTGAGGCTCCTCATGGTTCATTTTGTATTTCATAGAAAAGGGTTTTAGTTTAATTTCTGGCCAACATTAGTCCATTCAAGACCACCAAGGCAAGGTCGACCACTAGAGAAAAACCCTTTCATAGTTATGGCTAAAAGCTTTTGAGCTATGACATCTTGTTACAGAAAAGGCCACGTTACTAATCATTGTACAATTTAATTTGCCATGCTAACAGATATACTATTGGACTGTTTCATTATTTTCAATAGACGGCACATTTCCAATGATTTACGGGATCTGACAACATTACTGATCCATGGGTTTGAGGCTCTGTTAATGTCATTGCTGATAGGCTTTTTATATTATGGACAAGGAGGTAATCAGCTTTCTATACAAGACACAATCGCTCTCCTCTTCATGAAAGGATCCCTCACCCCCTTTGCTGTGGTACTGGACGTCGTAGCAAAATGTGAGTATCTATTAAAATGGTTTTAATTATGTCTTGTGTTGATAATTGTTAACATCATTGACCAACTCCATTGATTCCAGCATTGATTCAATTCATGTTTTGCATGTTTATAGGTCACTCAGAGAGAGCCATGCTTTTTCACGAATTGCAAGACGGCTTGTATTCTGTTCCTTCATATTTCTTTGCAAAGGTAATGTGATTTTTGGCAGTTTTAGTTTTTTTTTCTTTTTTCTCATTTAAGATAATATTGTGGCAAAATAGACAATATGTAAAATCATGTCAAAATATGCTTTAATGATCTACGGGACTCCAGCCTAAATCATTTGACTACACACAATTTAATAGTTAATTACATAACTAGAGTGGATGTATGGTTGAATCGTGGATGAATGGATGGAGACATGAAAAATGACTATAGATTCTAAATTACAGTATAATAAATTACCCATTCATTTGTTCTTTTGTCTCTAAGTACGATCTTTAATGCTCTTCTACAGCTTGTGACTTTCTCCTAATCATTCAGCTTCTCTCTTTCTCTCTCTCTCTAAACTTAGCCCATATTCTTTTTTTCAATGGTAGAAAAACAAAATAATGGACAAATAATGGAACATACGTAGTTCTAACTTTCTTATATGTCCTTCTACAGGTCATTGGTGAACTACCTGAACACTTTGTATTTGTTGTTTTTTATGGCGTTCCAATATATTGGTTGGCAAACCTCAATCCAGAACCAGTAAATTTCCTACTTAACCTCTCGTTATTGTTCCTTATGGTATATAGCAGCCGGGCAATGGCTTTATGGATGTCGGCGTTGCTACCCACAATGCAGATGTCTTCTTTTCTCAGCAATGCTCTTTTTACAGCCACTTATTTAACAGGAGGTTTTATTATCAGTCTCGGGAACCTATGGACAGGTAGGTCAAAAGACAGTTGCTTATGCATTAGAAATAGATGGGTGACAGTTCCATCCAAACCAACTCAAGTTCAGACCAAAGACCAAGAGATCCGTACTCTAATATCACAAACCAGAAATAAAAGAAATGGTGTTGCGCTTGTCAGTACCCCTTTTGATAACATGGTTTCTGTTCAATCTTTTCCTATAACTCCATTAATGATAAACATTGTTTAACAACCTACAAACTGATGATGTTGAATAATAACTTCTGGATTGTTCCTAGTTTAGGTAGGTCATCAAACTTAGTTTTCAGTGGGTCATAATCATCTGCGATTATGTCTCTTCGCAAGGTTGAATGCAAACAAAAACATTGCCAAAACATGTGTGCAGGTTGTGGTTACTGTGTAGTGTGACCATCCTTCTTTACCAATCAATTTCCCCCCCAATAAAACCTGAGATATATTTGTGGTATAAAACAGGCCACAGCTTTATTTATAAATTAACAAATATATTTTTCAACCAATAAATAACATTTATTAACCATATAAACATGATATATATATTGTGATAAAGTGAAGTCAGATAGGCCTTTTAACCCCAGGGGGAGTATGTGTAGGATGTGTTGTAGGCAACACAAAACACTGTTTAGTTATGGGCCCCTGGGGTGGAGCATTTGGAGAGAAGGGTGGGCCAATGCTCCACTCCACAGTTTAGTGGTTTTCTGGGGAGACATAGATCCAGGCCAGGGTTTTTTGGACCGTCTCCAACCCACTGCTCAGCTGCAGTTAATGAGCTGTTGCAGTGGGAATAAACCCCTCCCTGGCTAGGCAGGTAAAGGAGAGGGATTGCTGGCTTCCTCCCAGGAAGCAGGTAGGAGAGAGAGGCTGTTCTCTCCAGATAGAGTCAAGGAGACTAGGCACTTGGAGTGCAGAAAGGAAGCAGTCAGGGCAAGGCTGGCTTGGAGCACTGGGAGTGCAGAAAGGAAAGCAGTCAGGGCAAGGCTGGCTTGGAGCACTGGGAGTGCAGAAAGCAAAGCAGTCAGGGCAAGGCTGGCTTGGAGCACTGGGAGTGCAGAAAGGAAAGCAACAGGCTAGCTAGCAGAGTGTTGCTCTCTAATAAGGTTGGTGCGATATTGTTTTGTTTAGTTTAACCCTGAGAGATAGGGAACCTAATGTCAGTTAGTGCTCAGATGAGCTAGGTTTTTGTTTATAGGGTTTTCTGTTACATTTGTTTTCATTTACTGCTGTATCCTGTGTGAACTTACAAATAAAGTGCCTGGAGTATTTGCAATTAGAAGGACTATGCATGTTTTTGCCCTAGAGGACCGTGCTACCTGCTGACAAGGATCACAATATGGTGGAGAATGCGGGCAAAGTAGCACATTGAGAGTCTGTGGGTGTGCCAGTCATTCGGTAGTCTGCTTGAGGACTTTTATTTTTGCAGACCTGTTAAGCAAACAAGTAGCACTGTACCTTTAAGACTGTTACCTGCTTGGTGCTATAATGGAGGACCTGCTGAGAGCTGTGGTACAGGCAACTGCTAAACAACAAGGCACAAACAGTTTCCTGGCTGCACAGGTTAAGAACCTGAGGGACGCTCAGCAGGAGCATAGAGCTGCCCTTACTGAGGTTTTGCAGATTTCCCCCTGCAGGGAGCGTGGGGACAAGGGACCCTGTAACCAAGCTACTGACACCCTGCATGGGATGACAGAGGCAGTAGAAGAAGTCTTCAGCAAGCTGAAAACATGGAGGCAGCAAAGCGTGCTGTTGAGAAACACGCAGGAGAGAGAGAACAGGAATTAGAAGGCAAGAAGGATGAAATTGAGCCTAAAAGTAGTGATAAAGAGGTCTTTGAAAAAGAGTTGGTGGTAAGCAAAAACCACCCAGAAGGTGTAAGTAAAGCTAGTGAATACAGCCAGGGAACGAAAAATGAAGCAGAAGCCCCTGATGTACACCCAAGTGAACAAGTCAAAGGCATGAGAAGCAGACTGACTTGGGGAGTCAGAGAAGACAACAGTAAAGGAGCTGAGCAAAATGAAGAGAAGCAAAGCACTCCAGTTGAGTATAACAATGTGATGCGCTGTTTAGTAGCAGAGGCTACCCAAAAATGTCGACCAGCTGTTGAACAGTTTGGCAGAGAAAAGCAAGGCAGAGAAGTAGTGGCAAAACAAAGTCAAAACAAGAAAGGCAAAGTAGCCGCTTCTGATCTAAGCCAAGAGAGAGCGACAGTTACAGAACCAAGCTGTGGTGATAAGATAGGCACGTCCGCACCTAAGCCCGACCAAGGCGGAAGTGACAAAGTAGATGACATTGGCGTAGCAGAACAAAATATTTCAGAGACACCTGGTATTGTTAAAAAGACTTTGAATGATTGTCCAGGAGCCGTAGAACTAGATCTGCTGGCAAAGACTACTGCTACAAGGCCTGGGCACACTGACTACCGGGAACAGCTGCCAGATTCTGGGAACACAGTCATGGAATTAAAGGCGGGACTCGGAATGCCTGACTGGCTGTTTGATACCAGGGCTGTAATGACTCAGCGAGAGGCCATAACTGCGTCTCTGGACACCCCCATAGAGAGCAAGGCAGGTTCCCAGGGATTCGCAGAACAGATGGAGGATGTTGTGGAGCCCTTCGCGGAGGAACTTGTTCCAGTGAAGGATGAGCTGGTGACAGAACCAGGTCTTGAAGAGGTTGAGCACCTGGAAAATTCAGCTCATGAAGGAATTGGACGTATAGCTACACGCCAAGCCTTTGCAAAGTTTGCTTTTGAAAGTTACTCTAACATTGAGAGATTGTCAAATCAGAAGCTGCTGTGGATGTGGAAGCAGATGATGATGATTCAGAGGAACTCGGCTACTAAGGAGCCACACAGTACTGATCCTCAGCCTAGATCCGCTAGCAACCAGATAAGCGGGGAAACTGGAAAGCAAGGACAAAGTCTGGGACAATATACCTATGATGGTAGAACGTACCTAAAAGTCCTATTTTGGCTACGAGACCAGACTGAGAAAAACTGCTTCAACTGCCGCATGCATGGACATATTACATATAGCTGTCCTGAGAGTGAAGAGACAATACAATGTGACATAGTAATAAGGGCTCTGTATAGGATTGTATTGACTTGCTTAAAGATGTGTATGGTGACTAGTGGTGGTGTTACAGCACAGCTAAAAGTGGTGATGGTGGTAGGGAAGAGTGCACAAGCACTAATTAATCAAGGGAGCAAGGTAGCAGCCATCTGCAATAGGCCACGTCCTGTAACTGAGAAGCTAGTCAGGGCTGGTACAGCCCTAGGTTTTATAAATGTTCACGGTTTGTGTTTGAAGGCCGCTTGACCCGATGGGTCTGAGCTGGGGAGGAGGATATGTGATAAAGTGAAGTCAGATAGGCCTTTTAACCCCAGGGGGAGTATGTGTAGGATGTGTTGTAGGCAACACAAAACACTGTTTAGTTATGGGCCCCTGGGGTGGAGCATTTGGAGAGAAGGGTGGGCCAATGCTCCACTCCACAGTTTAGTGGTTTTCTGGGGAGACATAGATCCAGGCCAGGGTTTTTTGGACCTTCTCCAACCCAGCTGCAGTTAATGAGCTGTTGCAGTGGGAATAAACCCCTCCTGGCTAGGCAGAGAAAAGAGGGGGATTGCTGGCTTCCTCCCAGGAAGCAGGTAGGAGAGAGAGGCTGTTCTCTCCAGATAGAGTCAAGGAGACTAGGCACTTGGAGTGCAGAAAGGAAGCAGTCAGGGCAAGGCTGGCTTGGAGCACAGGGAGTGCAGAAAGGAAAGCAGTCAGGGCAAGGCTGGCTTGGAGCACTGGGAGTGCAGAAAGGAAAGCAACAGGCTAGCTAGCAGAGTGTTGCTCTCTAATAAGGTTGGTGCAATATTGTTTTGTTTAATTTAACCCTGAGAGATAGGGAACCTAATGTCAGTTAGTGCTCAGATGAGCTAGGTTTTTGTTTATAGGGTTTTCTGTTACATTTGTTTTCATTTACTGCTGTATCCTGTGTGAACTTACAAATAAAGTGCCTGGAGTATTTGCAATTAGAAGGACTGTGCATGTTTTTGCCCTAGAGGACCGTGCTACCTGCTGACAAGGATCACAATATTTAAACCACAGACTCGTCCTTGCAAAACCATTCCATCACCAAACACGAGTACTCCTCGGCACCTGTCCCCCCTCGTCCAAACACCACCTGACCTCCAACTTGACCTTAACTTACCACCATGCCAACCACTGGCCGACCTTTGACTCAGTGGGCACGTCTGGATGTCCAAACATTTACCAGAAGTTAGGGGAGGGACCAGACCCAACCTTCCTTCTTCCCCCTGTACTCTTCCTCCAACGCGGATTGGCAAGGACCAAACCCCCCAGCTGCGACAAGAGAATAGAGTTAGTAACATATAACAAAACATCAACAAGGGAGGGAGGGTGGGAAGCTGTTACCAAGATAAGATGGTTGAAGTCAGGAGGCAAAATGCCTGCCTATTTATATAGTCCATCCCCTTATTCATTTCTTTACCTCTCCCCCATATTACACCTACACTTCACCACACCCACACATGCCTCTTATACGGCTAGCTTTCAGCCTGCCTCCTCAGGATCTAGTATGCCAAAAACAGAGGAATGGATGTCTTTTAAAGCACAGCAAACCTGACAAGTTGCATGATTATTATATGTGATACATACTTTGTAAGGAATCCTCCCAGTTACCTGTTAAAGGGACTCTCACACGATGTTATGTGGGTTGGTGTAAAGTGCAGTATTAGCATATGTTTAAACCAGCTCACTTTTGGTGAATACAGGGCATTCCAATCCATATACATTGTCTTGACATTGTGTGGCCAACCTATCTTGTTTCCATAAATTTTGTGTGACTTTACCTAGGTATATGTTGTATATGTTTAGATGTCTTAAAATATGTCTGAACTAGATGCTCATGTTCCAGAATGCTATTATTAGAAAATAAAAATAAAATGGCAATAGAAGCTCAAAGCAAGAGAACAATTCAGATTTCGTTGCCAATAATGCGTATTACTAAACTCAACACAATACTAAACTCCCTACCTAACGCCCATTTTGCCAGATTTTGAACTAGCTTATACATTTTCATTATTTAAAAAAAAAAAAATTCACATGGCATCATCAATATTCCATCAATCAATCCATTACAATGTGATAATATTAAATAGTTAAAACCATAGTTGTAACCATAATTAAACTGCCTTTCCCTGCAGGAAAAACTTATTTTATTTTTTTATTCCATAAACTCCTTATGCATTTGCATGTATCAAATAATAATTAATTCAATGTTCATTTAATAATTTATGGGTTTTATACATTTTACATCTGTTGATTCACAACACAGTGGTAAATACTCTGCTAGAATGTATGTTGGCCTCTTCCAATCCTCTAAGAAGGATTTTAATACTTGAATTAGATTTAATGGTTAACAAAAAAAAGTATCATTCTCACATATTTGCTCACCTGATCCTTGACCTTGTTGTCATAGTTTTTCCGTGACACTGACACAGAGATGTAATTGGCGTTAGTAACAAGGAGCGATAGAAAATAATACAATTATTGACTAATAAAGCATTATCCTGTTTTAAGGAAGAGTATTTCAGATTTTGTTTTTAACATCATATTTGTCTCTTAATTTGAAGCCTTCCAAGCAATTCAATACTAATAGAAAAATAGTTCCAAATAATTTTTTTACAGATGTCACCATTAAAGTTTTTGGGACTTTTTGTACAAAAATTAGTTGCAAATTTTTTCTAACAGTATTGAATAATTTGGAAAGTTTATTAAAAGGAGGTGTTAGTTGGTTATTTTCTATTGTCTGACTTTCTTGATCCTTCAAAATGTACTCATTTTTGCATATTTTATCTAACAGTACCATATTGGATTTCGTTCGTCTCTTTCCTCCGCTGGGGATTCGAAGGACTAATGCAAGTTCAATTCACAGATCTGTCATATAGTTTGTCCCTAAACAATTTTACCATCACTGTTCCGGGAAAACTGGTGAGGCAATATTTCACAGTTTAAGCAACACTGTTTTTCTCAATATTACTTCTTTTACCATAAAGTTAGTAGAAAATAACATTCCTATTTTTTTGCCCCATCATGTATTATTATTATTATTGCCATTTATATAGCGCCAACAGATTCCGTAGCACTTTACAATATTATAAGAGGGGGGATTTAACTATAAATAGGACAATTACAAGAAAACTTACAGGAACGATAAGTTGAAGAGGACCCTGCTCAAACGAGCTTACAGTCTATATATGGCAATAAAGATGGTAGAGAACGATCCACTAGAATAGTGTGTTCCACAATCACCAATCACTGATTTTAAAATTGACTTCTTGACAAACTGAATGACTATATATTATTTGTAAATTTAACTAACTTAGGAAATATGAATAAACCAGTCTCATAGCTATCGATATGATGCATAGTTTTTTTTAATTATCAGAAGTAAATGCCCAAGTAATAAATGCAGCAGCCATTTTAGAGCCCAGAGCAGGTCTGTGACTGGGGCACAATATATCTTGTGGCACAACTGGGATATATATATATATTTTATGCCTATGAGTTTCTTACCTCTGGCATCTAGTTTTACAGCTGATTGATATCGCGTTTTGCTTTAGGGCAGGTCATTAAATTTTTTAGGAGTTAAAACTGCAACATACTTTATACTTTCCTGGTTAATGATCAGAATATACGATTGATATAATATTTCCTAGACCAGGGATAGGCATCCTTCGGCACTCCAGATGTTGTGGACTACATCCCCCATAATGTTCTAACACCCATTAAGATGGCAAAGCTTCATGGGAGGTGTAGTCCAAAACATCTGGAGTGCCGAAGGTTGCCTATGCCTGTCGTAGACCATAGTCCCCAACCCATTCCTCATGGACTACCAACAATCTAGGATTTATGTATATCTTTTTTTATTCAAACAGAGATAATGACAAAACCTTGGCTGTTGGTGGTCCACGAGGCTAGATTGGGGACCACTGTCCTAGACTACCAAATTACTTAATAAGACAAGAACAAGCCCATAATAACCATAAATATAAAATTATTATTCTACCTCACTACTAGTTATAATAACATACATGAGAGATTTTGGAACGTCTTTCAACCTTGTGGTTTCAATGACTAAATATTATATCAACCTTTATTTTCCCTTCAATCATGGGGATTAATACAAATCTGTATCTCTTGTGTACACATGATTTAGGCAAAACATTATAACTAAACTCCATGCATAACTTCTTTGCAGATCATCAAAAATATGGAGATGGACTCGTATCCACTATACCTGTGCTACTTAGTGCTGATTGGTATAATCGCTGGCTTTCTTGTACTCTATTTCATAAGCCTAAAGTTTATTAAACAGAAATCAAGCCAAGACTGGTAAACATAAGATTCAATGGACAGCACTGGACTAATTTGCAAAAGGTTAGAGTTGACAAGGAATCCTTCTTGTCAGCTATGAAGACCCCACCATGCTATGCTCTACAACAGTTGACCCATGGCTAACCAGCTGATGTTAGGCTACAACTGGCAGAGGATTCTGGGGAATATTATCCAGTCACCAGTGAAGTGCCACGTTGTATATATCAAAGATACTGTAACGGCACGTTTTAATCTATGGACACATTTTTTTCAGATTATATTGTCACAGTTTACTGCTGGTCTAGTGGTTAAATAGTTGATGTTATTGTAAATGCACTGATGCAGTGATGTAGCTATGCTGATTATATACTCTATGTAAAGAGAAGAGAAATAACTATTGTTCAAGAAGTACTACAAATTGCCAAGTGATAAATGTATACTGAGTTCAAGAAGCCACTGGGTGGCAGTAAAATCCTAATATTCTATAAGTTGCAGGACAACAATTTTAACATAAACATTCTTTTTTTCTTTTCAGAAATGGCTTTTGTATTTTTTTTTTCAATGTCATGCTTTATTTATAAAATGTTAGATTATTTTTTATAGATATTTGTGATTAACATCAATTAAAAGAAATAAAATAATAACAAAACATGCTGTGCTATTTACTAAGATATGAATTATCAGGAATTCAAAGTGAATTAAAATTCTAGGCCACAATGGTCAAATTAAAAAATTCTCCAAATCAGCAATACTTTTAGTTCAGATATTTTTGCCTAAACTTTGAATTTTACGTGAAAAAATAGTAAATACTTGGAAAAGGATTTTTCTTTTTATCAAAACTTATGCTAATGTAGATTTGAATTTTACACCAGCTTCTGCATCTAAAGTGGCCAAATAATACAACATGCTTTTTGATTATACACTCTTTTTTGTCCGTTAAGATTGAAATCTAAATTAAACATGATTTACAATAAAGGAAGTGTAAACATTAGATGTCACTTTACAGGAAGTGTTTAGGAAGGATATGTAAATTACATGCAGGGAGGTGTGACTAAGGCTGCATACACACAGTGATTTAACTACTAAATGGCAAAGAATTGAGTAGTGAGACTGCAGGAGCATGATCTAACACCAAAATGGCTTCATTAACCTAAAGTTGTTTTGATGACTATAGTATTCATTTAAGCTGCAGCAGGATTCTGAACCAGGAATTCATTGTCCCTGTTGTGCACAGAGAACACCGATAGATGTGCAGAAAATGCCAGTGGTCATGTTTATAGTTGTATCACAACAGGAAACCAGTGGAACATTGGATGATGACTAATAACTGGTACAGTGCAGAGGCCTGGATTTTGAGTGCTAAATGACCTCCCAACAGCTAATGTCACAGGGTAGTAGGAGAAATAAGTAATTACTTTTTTTTATTGATAAACAAAAATAATGAAAAACCTACCATTTTATTTTTCTGGCCAGGAGGAATGGAAGCAATAAAACATTATTAAAAGATAACTACAAAGATAACTACTTACCCCAATCTCGAGCTTTTTATGTACTTTTTCTCTAATGCATAAATACAGGTATAGTCCACATTTCTAGTGTTTCCGAAGCTTAACCCTCTCATCTGTTATTACTGCCATTCTATTTTGATTTAGATCAAATTAAATATCACTATTAGAATCTAACAAAAGCGAGACAGCGGGAAGTTTGGGTAATTCACAGACTATATATGTCATGTTTAAAGTCTTAAAATAATAGCCAATGGAAATGTATTATAATTAGATCTGAAATTGCAGGCCAATCTTTGTTCTGCACATCCCTTGGTGAAATTAACAATAGATGTAATTTGGAGGATATCAATTTTATCTGAAACATAGTATGTATTTTGAATTGTTACTATCATTTGCCATTACTAACTGAATGTACCGTCTCTGTCGGGAAATATTTGCAATACGTGATATCTAATAGACCTTTTAAAACATATGAATGAGACAGTATTTTTATGAGACTTAATAACAACACAGCTTTTAACTACGCATTCTCTATTTTGATCATTTAATTGAAATGTAACATATGCATTCATTCAAATGTGGAACTATTAGACTTAAAGGAAAGTGGACTAAAACTTTCGAAAGTGATAAAGTCAAATCAATTTATCCATTTCTGTTTTTAAACACTGCAACTCCAATTCATGTATTTTGACCTGCAAATTAAATCTCTGTATGAAAAAAATCAGTACTAGGAAAATGACTGCTATAATTTTTTTAAAAAATAAATACAATAATATATATATATGCATGGATAGGCGGACAGACGTGTGAACCAACAGGCAGACAGACAGAAATCTATGAAGACAGACAGGCAGGTAGAAATGCATAGCCAGCTGTACCAAGATAACTTTTCAGAAATTAAATGCAGATATTGATCCCATTTTTATGACATACACTTCAAGTGAAATGAGTTTGGAAAGTGTACTAATGGATTTTAAGAAAATTCAATTACTGACTAGCAGACTGTAGAATATTATTTCAAATATTCACATTTTTTAGAACATATTGCATACTTACGCCATGTGCACCTTGCTTAGATCATGTTTCCCATGCTACATGCCAGGACTGTTAAAGATTGTGTGCATTGCATGAGATATGTTTTCATTGTGTTTATTATTGTCATGCTTATCACATCAAATGTACAAAAACTTTTAAATAAGCAACATAGTGTCACAAATACAAACAGGTATTCCTGACACTATAGTGTTAAAAAAAAATTTCGTTGACCAGCTCCCTCTTATCTTCCTTAAAAAGGTGTAAAACTCACCTTTATCGAGCCCTGTGCGGCTCCTGCGCCCTCTTATTCTTCCTTGACTGAGATCATCAAAACTGACAATCCCATAGGAAAGCATTGGGAAGCATGACAAAACGCTGCTCTGCACCAATCAGCATCTCCTCACAGAGATGCACTGAATCAACGAGGAACATTCAGCGCCTCCATGCAGATTGTAGAGATGCTGAACGTCAGTGCTGCACACTGTGTACAGCAAAAGGTAGACAAGCTTCCCATCTTTTGTCAACTTTGCCATTGGCTGGCTACTTAATACTCACCTCACTCCAGCATTGTGTCACCACTTCTCTGTGTTATTATTATTATTATTATCACCATTTATATAGCGCCAACAGATTCCGCAGCGCTTTACAATATTATGAGAGGGGGATTTAACTATAAATAGGACAATTACAAAAAACTTACGGGAACAATAGGTTGAAGAGGACCCTGCTCAATCGAGCTTACATTCTATAGGAGGTGGGGTGTAAAACACATTAGGACAGGAATTTGCAGTCAAATA